GCTGAGTAATCCCGCCCTGTTATAAAGACAGTTTCAAAGGGCTTGGAAGTGAGTTAGCCATAATGCTGCACTATAAGAAAACATCTCTGTCCATGTCCCTCCTCAGATTTCTCTATGAATGTACATGTTTTTGTAATAAACTTATAATCATGCATCATTTCCCTTCATGTCTTATTTAGCTGTTCCTTGTCATGCCAGAGAAAAGGATTATCAAAAACATGTTAACTTCGAACAAAAGTAAAAAAAACAGAATTAAAAATAAAAGGTTGGGGACACTGCAGAGCTATGAATGGGGTTTAAGAAGTATGTCTGTGGGGTTTAAGATGCATACTGTGAAGACCTGCCTGATCTTTAGCTGCCGTGGTAGTGCTGTACGTGTGGCTTCCAGCTTCTCAGGCAGCTAATGTTAAAACAGAAACCACATCGATTAGCCAGGTTCCAGTGCACACGAGATTAAAAACATACTTATCCTGGTAGGGTCACCTATTCTTGGAACAATGTAGTAAAAACTTTCTCCTAAATTATCCTACAGAGGTTGCAGAGTGCCATTCTGAGTGAGCTGGAGAAAGTTCTCATTAAAGATAACAGTTATGGTTACAGGCAGTGCCACTGCACGAGTCAGTGATGCAGAGTGATCTGGTAACAATCAGCTTTCTGGAAATCAGTGGATATCATCAAGCTGCTCAGTCTTGTCTTTAATAGTGTAAATCATGGGTCAATGTTAATATGTTAAAATATAAGGATGTGTATTAATCAGTCACAATAGTAGCTGAATGTTTCTCTTTTACAGAAATTTTTCTGAACATTTTTTCTCCTTATTTGGGGTTTTATAATTGTTACTTTAGATGGAAAAATGTATGGGGTACCACGTGATTATTCAATACACAGAATGTAGATGGTGTGTAATGACCAAATCAGAATAGTTAACTTCTCTATCTTCATAAACATTTAATTACAGTTTTACATAGTTCTTAGGTAAAAAATCTTAAAACTCTGGGTACTATGTCTGGTTTGCTTGGAAGCACATATCTTAAGCCAAAAAGCCAAATTCCTTACTTTCTTATCATGAACATTATTCCCATTGGGCAAGTCTTCTCAGTACAGGAATGTGGCTGAACAGGGGTGTTTCAGTCTTGGGCTTTTGTCTCTAGTGGGAAAAAAAAAGTTTTTCTAGGAGCACTCAAATATAAATTGAATAACATACTCAAGTTTGTAGAGATTCTGCTCCCAGTTTTGAGTTTTCTCATTGGTTATGGTTAGACAGAGCTACGATTTTGGACCCAAGTATCAACTTCCCTGACGAATTTTAATATTACATGCTGGTAAGAAACTTAGATACTGAAATCTGTTTTTTCCATTTTAAGAATGTTTGAGATTAGATAAGACAAAGGCAGTTTTTCCATCTTTGCCTTTATCAATATTTGTATGGCTACTGAGATAACTACTTCATAGGAAAGAAACATTTTCCTGACTATAGCCTAGATATGATTTACTGTATACTTATACCCTTGCTTTGCTGAATACACATAACTTGTTCAGCTGCATGGTCATAGTTTAAAGATATTTTAAACAACAAGTATACAACTCAAGGCAGCTCCAATCATTTGGCAGGGACAATAGCTGTTCTTTCCAGAGATGGAAGGGAAATTGTTATTTCTGTTTCTACATATAGGAAGTAGATTTATCAAAGAACCTGCTTATGTATAGAGTTGTGTTGTATTGCATAGTACTGCATGGGAAATCCTTGGTAAAATTTACCCACGTGTCTTCTATAGACACCAGTACAAAGACTACATCAGAGTTGTAACCCTCCATCTTGGTCTTGGAGACAGGATCTCCCTCCACAGTTCAGGTTGGCCTTGAACTTGCTATGGGGTCCAGGCTGGCCTTCAGCTGGCAGCCATCCTCCTGTGTTGGCCTCTCAAGTGTTAGGATTACACATGTGTACCAGCACACTGGGCTGGAACACCTTGTTCCTACATCACCACACTTGCCATCGCCCCTACACACCTTTAACTCTGTCAGCTCAGGATTGAATTTTGGAGTTAGTGGCTTGGGAAGAACACAACATCATGGAAGTTTTCAAACAATATTCAAAATGTAACCTGTCATAGTATGTTGCTAAATCATTTTAAAATTTTATTTATTTGAGAGGGTGAGGCAGGAAGATCACAAATTCAAACCCAGCCCAGGCAAGTTAGAGACATTGTTTAAAAATTGAAAAATAATTTTAAAAGGGGCCTGGGGCGATATTTCAGTGTGAATGCCCTGAGTTCAATTCCCAATATCATACACACACACACACACACACACACACACACACTCTCTCTCTCTCTCTCTCTCTCTCTCTCTCTCTGCAACCCTTAAAATTTTATTTTCTCTACAATTGCTATAAAATGTTTTATTGACAGGCTTCTCACATATGATTTTAATTTTTCTTCATAAATAAGACTAGAATGACATTTTTACTCATTAGTTTTTCTTGCTACTATATGAGGTACATAATAAAGCTTAATTTATAATGATACAAAAAGAGATTACTTATATTACTTAGCAAGGGAAAAAACAAAAAAAGGCATAAAAATAAAAAGAAAAAGAGGAAGAGGAAGGAGCATAACATCAAGAAAGGCCTCAGTGTAGGATGAAATCCTAAGACAAACCTGTTTCGGTCATTACTATAACTCTAAACCTTAATAATATCCAGGAGGACTCAAATATAAATTGAATAACATACCAAAGTTTGTAGAGATTCTGCTCCCAGTTTTGAGTTTTCTGCATGATTATGGTTAGACAGAGCTATGAATTTTGGATCCAAGTATTAATTTCTCTGACAAATTTTAATATTACATGCTGGTAAGAAACTTAGATACTAAAATCTGTTTTTTCCATTTTAAGAGTGTTTGAGATTTGATAAGATACAGGCAGTTTTTCCATCTTTGCCTTTATCAATATTTGTATGGCTACCGAGATACCTACTTCATAGGAAAGAAACATTTTAGCAAACATTTGCTATATGGTTGAATAAGAAAACTGAAGACATAAATGTTGTGTACCAGTAAGTAGAACTCAATTCATGCGGGCATTCCATAAGTTCATAAACTAGATTTGGTAAAAATCGATGTAGATAAAAATGGATGTCCTAGATTTGTAACTTTATTTCATGAGTCAATGACAAATAGAGACATAGATTGCATTGAATCAGAACTCTCCTCATCATACACCAACAGATATTCTGGAGGCTCATGAAATACCCTTTTGAGTGACTGTTGCAAATATTCCAAAAGGAATGCATGGAAATGTATTTGTTCTGTCCACAAATGTGTTTTCTCATACAGTATCAGGCTTCTCTTTAAAAAAATCATTTTGAAGTATTTAGGATATCCAAGGGGTTGTTTTTGTTTTGTTTTGTTTTTTGGTACTGGGGACTGAACTCACAACCTCACGCTTGCCAAGCAGGAGCTTATGCCGCTGGGCTAAATCCCCAGCCCCTGTATAATATCCTACTTTGTTTAAGCATTAAAATATTTATAATTGCCACAGAAATCTTCCTGAGAAATATACTGAATGATAGATAGGAAGAACACTCTACTGCTGACATGGATTCTTGTCCCTAAGTCATTGTGTCAGTAACTGGTTGCTGACCATAGCTGAGCTACTTACACTTTCTGAGTTCACATTTCCACCCCTGTGGAATGAAACGGTTGCAGGAGATGAACCCCTCTCGGGGATGAGTGCCTCTGATTCTTTGTCAGCTGGCATAAAGAATGAGTGGCTGCTGGTGGATCAGAGGGCCTAGGACAGAGTGGTCCATGGTAGATGAGGGCATGGCTTCAGCAGGGGAGAACTGGTTAGACTCTGCTCCTTACTAGTTAGTGACCTAGGGCAAGTAGGTAGTCACCTCTCAGAAACTCAGTTCCCCATCTTGGAAATGAGAGTAATGCCCACATTAAAGAGCAATTGTGTTAAATGACACAGGATAAATCCAGCCCTAATTTGCTGTCTGGCACAAAGCAAATACTCAACAGTATCCATTTTAAACATTGTTATTTCCTTGGTTCCACTAAAAGAACTTGCTTTTAGCAGCACTTCTCCGCCTGATTATCAGAATTATTGTAATTAAAGTATTGAAAACATCTTAAGGTGTCAACTTTGGCTGACTTATTTTTTTAAAATGGAAAGCATGGGCTCAGGGGACCTTTAAAAATCAAGCAAATGCAAACTGTGTGTTAACCTTTAGTCTCCATTTTTTTTAAAAAAATAACATTCTATTAATTAAAACAGCTTTAAAGTGTTTGCTCAGTACTAATATAACAGGCCAACTGTGTACCCACCCGCTGTGAAAAATGTTCCTGCCCCAAAGAAATTTTAATGGAAATTTGCTTCATATTTCAGTTTGATTTGATATGAGATTACAAGGAAGTTTTTGTTCTTAGCTCTTAAAGCTACTAAGTCTCTTAATTTTTATAATATATAAGTTGCATTTAAATACTAACCAATCAGACAGAAATCATTTCTAAGTAGTATAAATACATTTTGAAGGCTGAATAAATTCTTATAACTTAGAAACAGAAAGGGGGGGGGAAATTCCCCATATGTGGGAGACAGAGTATTCTGCTTTGGTTTAGCTACAGCAGGAAACATGCATTTGTTTATTTTGACCCCAGGATTTTCATAGCTAGATTAACTTTCATAGGATTTTCTTCCCGTTTACCAAGGACTGTCATTCTGCCTTGAGGAAACTAATAATTTGCAGGGGTTTAAGGAAAACACTTGCATAAATAAATCAAGTGTTCCTTAGCTTGTTCTCATGTCTTGGGGATGACTGCTTTGGTGAATAGGGGACATTTTTAACCATAGAAGCTCCCACTATTTCTGTAACTGGCTTACAATACTACAGTGGGCTAATGTGTGTTCAAGATGATTTTGGAGCATATGGAACGTTATAGCAGGAGTTCTGAGTCAGCATGGTATGTTTAGGAATGTCTCCTTGTTGATTCTAGGTTTCTTCTCCTTTGTGAGCTGTGACCATCAACTCATCTGTAGCAGCTTGTGGAAAAGTAACTACTTGCACTTCCGTTGAAAAGTTTTCCCCCATAATTCAGGGTAAGTAATATGTCCCATAGATGGAAAAATAAGAATAGAAACTGATTTGTACACCTCAAATCTTAAAATAAGAATATACATCGATTTATTTGTAAATCATGTTAAATATCCAAACTTCAAAATATCCAAACTTCATCAAGGCAGTGACTTTCATTTGTTGTAGCAATTCCATTTAGAGAGTTCCTTAGGAACTAGCTTAGGAGTTTTTGCCACTGTAGACTATTTCCTTTAATATTTTATCATTTAACTCTCATGGGACTCCTCTCATTTTAAAAGCTACTTTATTTTATTTAACTAATTTACTTATTTATTCGTTTTGTGGTGCTGGGGATTGAAGGCAAGTGCTCTACCATGAGTTACATCCTCAGTCCTATGAAAGAAACTCTAAAGGATTGCATATTGAACTTATGTACATCTTTCTAGTAATTGCTTGTACTATTGTTTGTACTTTGTCAAAAACTAGTCAAAAGATTATCAAATATATCAATATATATATATATATATATATATATATACTTTATATGTGTATTTCTAAGTTTAAAAAAAGATGAAAATGGGGGACTTCAAACTGTTGCTAAGCTACTGTTGGATCTGCTTGGTGTGCCCATTAGCACAGTGCTAGCTGAATAGTGTCCTCACTCTAGTGACCTACCTGCTCAGCCCGGTGCTTTTTAGTTGGTGATGGTAAAGGGAATTGGTAGAGTTGGAAGTTAAGAAATGGCCAAAAATAATGTACCAGGGTGCTGTCTGAGGCTGGCAAAAGCCGGCTCCCTCCCCATTTTGTCTACCCTCCAGCTTGCCAAGCCCTGTTCTCTTTGGCTTTATTTTTAAAAATGCATTTCTGGTGAGTGAGGAAAGGTTTTGTACTGTGTTTTCAATGACTCACCCAAAATAACTCCATTCAACTTGCAAATGGTCCTGTTCTGAATGCAGATTGTGTTTGTACTGAGCTGGGCTCCAAGGAGCTGCACATGGGAGATTAGAGAAGGGAAGCGGGGTGGGAGAGGCCAGGACAGTTTGTATTTATTCAGGTTCAGGCACAAACCTGGAGAAATAATTCTGTTTCAAAAGAAGACGTGTGTGTGTGTGTGTGTGTGTGTGTGTGTGTGTGTGTGTGTGTGTATAAGAGCACTGTTCCATTTAAAGCTTTTCAAAATCCTTCAGTATTAAATACAAGGTTCATGTGGTCATCAACCTTCTTTTTCTGGTCTTCATAAAATATTGAAAGGGAGATTTACCTACAAATACATAATTTCAAATATATGCATAGTGACCAAATAAGTTAAAAAGTTCTGAATGACTTGAAAATAGTAGACACACAATACAGAGGCCAGATGTAATCCTAAAGGAAGAAGAAAATGGATAAAGAACTCTAAGAAGTGAACTGATCACATTATAGTGCTAATACTGGGAAATACTTCTGTCTTCCCTGTTCTGCTGCATGTTGTAGAAAACTCCTTAGGATATACTGCCATTTGATGTAGACAGATACATCTCTTTAAATGCTGTTATGATTCAGAATGTCAAGGCAACTTTTCAAGCAGGACTGAAAAGAAAAAGATTCAGATTTAAGCATCTGGGCTTCATAGATGAGTAACAAATATTTCGGCTTTCTTAGTAAGTATGTCCAGTAAAGAGAATTTGAAGACCTGCTTTGAGTTGTTTCATGGATTCACAAGTCAGACCAAATCAAGCTCATTCTGTTACATAACTTTGCTTTACTCCATTAATGATGAAGAATAGATAAGTCATTCTTACCTGTTCTCAGAAACAAGAACAAAGTGAGCTACTGTAAAGAAAGCAAGCAGGCTAGGAGTCTCAGGCAATTCAGAACTTTAGCTTCCAAGTTAATAGCTTGCTGTCACATGATTCCCTTTTTGATCTGTCCCTCAGCATCTTACATGAATGTTGCCATGGGGAAGGAAACATACACTGACATTAGTGCACATTCATGAAATTGCTGCGTTCTATTATAATGTTACCTACTGGTTTCCTTTTTTTTTTTTTTCTTCCTTCTTTAACCTGGTGTCTAATTTTTAAATATAACCTATAGTCACTGTTGTCCTTCATAAGAATTCTCTTTTGTTGCCTAAAAATATATTTAAATAACAAGATGAATTGAAATATAACAGACCTTGGAGAAATACCTTGAAGCAAACATTTTATCCATTTGAATGCCCATTCTGAAGATCATAAAAACTAGAAAAGTAAGTTCAAAGGACTCAGCATTTCTTTTGAACTCACTGTTGTAATGAAAGCATAAGGGGTACAACAAGATTTAGAAATGTTCTTTAATTTCTCAAGTTTACAGCAGGACTGATAAACCAAACATATTACGCATCCATGTGCCTTCCTGGCCTGCCCATAGCAGTCATGAAATGGTCTCTTGCATCCTACTGTAGACTCTTGAAGTCTAAGAAGTCTTAAAGACTCACCTCCAGTGATATTTCAAGCTGCTGAGATACCTGTATCACTCCACTAGCTCCCTTTACATGTTATAGTAAATATAAATGAGGCCCAGATAATGTTATGGTGGTTCTGGAAAGCTAGCCTGGATTTTATCTTTAGCGTTTTAGTAAACCAGTAGAAGTTGTTGATTTTAGTAAGAAGTAAGGATGTTCTGGGAATAATAATTTGGTAGCAATGTGCTAGAAAGAAGATCGGAAACAAGGCAGGCAAGCAAATCAATGCACTTAGTAGTCTATGCCTGATGTGTAAGTGGATGGACAAAAACTTGGCACTATTTCACCTCAAGAGCCTTCTACGTTCTAAATTCTCCAAAAATGATGGTTTACTATAGCTATCAGTGACAGTCACTTCCTTTCTAATACAATGTTTCCATTAGAAATTTTACTATGTTTGACTTTAATTTTAAATGAGAAAAAAACTTCCTTAAAAGGTTAGGTTTATGCAAAATTTCTTTTCAATAAAGTTAAAATGAAAAAATGTCTTAACTTCTGCTTTAGAACATAGTCAATTACAATCAAATACTGGGAGGCTTACTTATATGGTCTGCATAGGTAGTTTAAAAATCATGTTTAGGGGAACATAGTTGCTTGGTATGTTATATTCTGTTTGAGTTTGGATAGAATTTAAGTCTTCTTGCTCAGGATACTTGCGAAACTCATTTAAAAATAGTTCATTACTTGCAACATCATTTGTTTCCTGCAGTATCTTGAAGTACCAAAATTATCTTTACATTTTCCCAAGCACTTCTATTTTCCTGTACCTCTCCTCTTATAACTTCAGTGTGACATTTCCAGATTAAATATGGTTTGTCAATTCGTTTTCAGACCTCACCTCACCAAATGACCTTCCTTAAGCATGAAAGTTAGCACTCCACAGGGCTTGGTCTCTCCCAGTTCTGACTCCAACAGCAGCCTTTCTCATACTTACCCCAGTCCCCACTTCATTCAATGTCGGACCACTCAGGGGACAACTCTTCAAACAATAGGTTTCGGGAGCACTAGTCGGCATTTATCTTCTAGTGGGGGTGTTTTACGAGACTTGGTCTTCCCACTAGATCGCTATTTTTGGACGCGGGAGGTGGAGCTGTTAGAAAAGATAACGAATCTCGCCCCTTCCTAGCAGCAGCGGGGGCGAGTCCCCCGCCCTCACCCAGCCTCTGGGCTTCAAGCCACGCCTACGTACACGCCCCCTAACCCGCCCCGCGCCGCAGGCCGGAAGGGGCGTGGCCGGCTCCGGGAGGCGGGAAGGGGGCGGCGCTCCACGGCTCGCGGCGCTGCCGGGCTCCTCGCGCTGCCGCGGTACCCGCCGACTTCATGTGAAGCGCGCGCCGTCCGCCCCGTCCCTCCCCTCCACCCCTCCCTCCCTCCCTGTCCCCTCCTCCTCCCCGGCGCCCGCTCCCGCGCCCCGGGGCCCGCAGCCGGGCCGGGCGCTGACGAGGGCTGGGGTCGCACCGCGGCGGCCGCCGTTCTCGCGCAGGTCGGGCCCGGCCGCGGAGCGCCCGGCGCGGCCATGGAGCGGCCCGGGGCGGCGTCGGCGGAGGCGGAGGAGGAGCTGGAGTGGCGAGTGGCAAGTCGCCGGAGGAAGGCCTGGGCCAAGTGCCGCAGCTCCTGGCAGGAGTCGGAGACGGAGGACCTGTCCACCGAGGCCACGACGCAGGACGAGGACGACGACGACGAGGAGGACCTGCCGGGCGCCAAGCTGCCGGCGGCCGCGGGCAGAGGTGGGTGCGGCCGGCCGGGCCGGGCTCCGCGCTCCGCGTCCTCGCGGTGACGGCCAGGGCCATCGGCGCCGCCGACCTCCGGACTCCGGGACGCGCGGCTCCCGCTGCCGGCTGTCGCTGCCGTGTCCCTACCGTGACCCTGCCGTGGCGCCCTTCTCGAGGTCTGTAACCGCTGTCCCCTGCTCTGCCCGCAGGAAACGTGCCCAACGAGAAGATCGCGATATGGCTGAAGGACTGCCGGTGAGTCCCGGGAGACCGCGCCTCGGGCACCTCGGGGTGCCCTGCTCCCTCGAGGCCGTGGGCTCAGAACCGGAAAGTGAGCGAGCGGCGGATAGCTTCCTCCTTTTGGCGATTAGAAGTGGAAGTGCGGTGGCCGCTGAGGATCTAGGGAGCGTGTTGACTTTACACTTGCTAGGACTGCAGCTTCCCGAGTGTGGTGTTGGCATTCGATGCTAGGTTGGCCCTGTCTGTATGTACAAAGAAGGCTCACAGTTGGATGTTTTATTTTACTTTTGTTTTGGCATCTGTACCTCTGGCACTGAATCCTTTTCCTTTCAGATACGCTTCAGACGAGTTTAATTGACACTCACTGGGCTTTAAAGTTGTGTGCCTTCATTCTGTTTGGGGAGCTATTGAAGTTAGCTAACTTTTACGCGTGCTTTACTTCTTGGATATGGATTTGTTAGATGACCCTGGAATTCACAGAAGGAAATACAGCTTTGAAGGCAGTCAGACTGCGTAAATCTGTTTAATTGCAAGCTTTGGCAACTGTTACAGAAGTGTTTGATAAAGTACCGAGGTGGTGAATCATATTGCAAGTAAATCTGACTATTGTAAAATCTGCTTGTTTCATTTTTATTTGTTTCCAATTTAATTGCTAGTTATAAACTCTTATAGGAAGATGTAGTTTCCAAACTTTGGTTGGTTCTTCTGATCATATTTTGCTTTCTCATTTAGGTTTATCTTAATGTTTTGTTCAAGTAGTAGAACTAAGGAAGATACTTGTTTTCACAGTGTGATTCTTCCATATGCCAATGTATTTTCCCTGAAAGACAAAATTAGTGCAGTATTTGCTGTTATTATATTAATGTCCCATTTGATAAATAGGGATTCACAGGACGTCTTCACTACAAAACTCTGTAAATTTTATTGGGGTTGTCAAAGACCCTCCCGAGATGTTGTAAAATATGTGGACCTTCTCTGTTAGGATGCAGAAAGGCAGCTATCCTGCTTGAGTTCCCTCAACGCTAGCTCAATAAGCTCTTGATTTCCGAATTGGAAGACAACGTGGCCATAGATGTTAGGTGGCTCCACTCAGAGAATGATTTAAGAAATAATGTGTGCCACTGGTTCATATAATTGTTAAATATCAGGATAGCGTAAAATTTAAAAGGATCAAATTATGAATAAGCACTGTGAGGACATTTTAGGAACGACATTGTGAAACCAGTAGTATATGGTAGGTTTCCTTTTAGAAAAAGATCTGAGAAGGATGTTTTGTTTACTTTTACTCCGGTCTTTTAAAACTTTCAATCCCAGACTTGATGGTAAATAGTGCATTCTTACTCCTGGTATCTTAAACTAGGTTTAGCATTCAAAATAAACTTGTAGCATTTTATTGTTTACATGCAAGTGTGCATTGAAAATTTTTTAAAATAGAGAACACATTTTATGGCTCATGGGAGTAAAGATTATGGAAGAGACCAGGTGAAGAGTGAGTAAGGACATCTTTTCAGAAGTGGAATAGGAAATGCTGGCGTTCAGCAGGACACAGTCGTCCCTGGTCCCTGAAAATTCCAGAAGCTTTGTTGCTAAACTTGATTTATGCGGGCACATTCTGTAACCCATTGCTCCATATCTCGTTGGCTTCTTTGTTATTCCTACAGTTGCGCCTATTCTATACAAAAGTGGGTTTTATTTTTTATGGAAATATAGAACAAGTGGTATTTTAGTGTTGGCTATATTATTGTAGATTTGACTGTTAAGGTATTGGGCACTTTTTTAAAATAACTATAGGGTCCTTCCCAGAGTGGGGCATCCATGCATTTTGTACATTATGTGCAAATCACCTGAAGACAGCTCCCCCCCCCCTTTAAGTTCTCATATATTCTTTGTTTTCTCACTGCTGTCCACATCCTGAATAGAGGTACTGTGTTTTTTTCCTTAAAGGGAGGCTTTATTTTGATAACCATTTCTCATTTGGCTAAGTGGAAATAAATTGCATGAATTAATATTGGAGGGGGAGATTTTGATAGGATTTGGAGGAAAGTAACTATAAAAACAAAGACTTGTTTCCGAGGGAGAATATCAATTATATTTTGCTTATGTGCCATTTTTTTGTGAGCGCACAGACTGTGGACAGAGTAACCCCGTGTTTTGGCGTAAGAAAGAAACCATTTGGGAAAAAGAAAGACTATATAGTTTTATTAAAATATATGTAAAAACCTAGTTCACAGTTTTTATTAATGTCTGTTTAGAAATTGCTTGTGATTCATGTACATTTCAAAAACACTACTTTTCAGAAAACTGTTTACAGAAAGTATCAACTTTTAAATGCCATTTCAGTTAGCATTTCTGGTATTTTTGTGGTGGAACCCTGGTCTGATATGAATTTGTGACAGGTATAAATTGTTACTGAAAAAAGATTTGTATCACAAAACAATTTTAGAACTGTGTATTACTGTAACTTAATTTTTAGAAAAAGTATGTTTATATTTGAGAAAACTTTCTGAGTCACTTGTGTTTGAATGACAAAAATGTGAAAAAAATTTTAACAAAGGCTGGTTCTTAACGTTAATTCTCAAGCCAACTGTTTAGTAATTTTCGGAGTCCAGTGAAGAAAGAATGTTTTCTAGTTTGAAAGCAGCAAGTGAATTTGAAGCTTTAGAGCAAAGAGACCTTGGGGTATGGGAGGCGATTGGATGGTGCCCAGAAGTGGGAGTGGTGAAGATTAAGAAAACCGCCTCCTTTCTAGTTAGAGTTAAGTTACATATTACTGAAGGTTTATATTCTTCTCTTCCTGTTTTCTGTCAATGTGGAGAGGATTGCAAGGGGCAGATGTTTTCATATTGCCTATTGTCATTCTGTTGTTGTTTGTTTATTTGTTTTTGCTAAGAAAATACCAGTTTTTGTGTTTCTGATTGGTATTTTTGTTGTTAATTGCTGGTAGATGAGATATGTAGTTGAGTCACTCCTGTTGAAGGGCATTGACAGTAGGTGTTTGCGTAGTTAGTGGAATATTATTTATGTAATCCACTCACATTCCTTATAGTTGAGGGAAGACAGTAAATGGATCAAATATTTGCTTAACTGTAGCTGTTAAGGCTGTTGGTGACAGTTCTCCAGATGACTTTCCCAGGACTGAGGCTCCTGTATTCTGTGGTTGCAGGACACCTCTGGGAGCCTCACTGGATGAGCAGAGCGGCAGTACACTGAAGGGTAAGAGAGAGTTGGCTTTCCAAATCTGTTTTTTTGAGAGGGTCCTCTTTTTTTTGTCCTTTGGTGAAAGTATGTATGTGAATTTTAACGTGGTGTTCATTTTTATAAAATACTCTGTTCAGAGCTACTTGCCCAAAGGGAGAGAAACCTTCCCATAAACGATAGATAAAACAGTGGTGAATTTAAGCAAACTACCAAACCTTGCTGTAATGTTAGTCTTACCCTTTTATTGCCCAGCTAGATAGCATAAAAACTAATTAAATATGGATATACAAGAGGTTTAAGGAAAGTATGTGTTGAGTGAACTAGGTCAGCTTTAATGCAGCATTTCTTTGCTGACATTAACTGAAATTGCCACACCTGAAATTTTACCACCTTTGTAAGATAGAATTCTCAAGTTCAAAGTACAGCAAGAAAGTGGCAAGACACATAAAATGCATTTATAGCATCAGGAAAGTCTAGCTCGAGTGGCTGGTTTAATGTGAATGGGAGAGAAATGATTGCTCCAGGTTCTGGTTTTCCACAAAACTCTTGGATAAGATGTGTTAACAAATCAAACATCTTCAGAGGCATCTCAGTATAAAATAGCCTGTAGACCAGGCTTCTGAGTATTTTATCTGGCCACAAACATGATTTCTTAATATGGCCGCTGCTTGAAATTATATAATCACAATGATTTCTCAGTACATTTAGGTCTCAAGTATATTTTCCTATATCTTATAAAATACTTTGTTTGCTCAGTTTTTTTGTACTAAAACAATGATTTCATATGGAGGTGAGGAAGAGCATAACAACAGGGCGAATTTGCTGGATTTTCATGTTTCAGGTGTGCTCGTGAGAAATGGAGGTAGTTTTGAAGATGATTTGTCACTGGGAGCCGAAGGTATGTTTGTTTGGAAGAACTATTTTCATGCAGTTTTGTATTCTTTTTTAAAAATAGAAAAATTGCAAACTTTTACGATCGTGGTCCTAAGAGCCAAATGTAAAGACTTTGGAAATGGCTCACATGTCACAGTACTTTCCTTTTATAGTATATGTTAATAATGTAGTCCTAGGCTGTAGGGGTGGCTCAGAAAGAGCTCTGTGAAATGTCTTTATCTGTGACTTCCCTGGACTCGAATGCTGGGAAGAACTGTTTGTGGCAGACCGTGGTGATCTGATGGAGGGGAGAGCTCTCCAGAAGAAGGAAGGAAGCTTAAATATTTATATATAAGAAAACTAAAGCGGAGCTTATTTTTAGTGTGGACTTTCGTTGCATTTGCAGCTGTGACTTGTCTTTCTCTTTGCATTTAAGTGTCTTCTTTCTCCTAATTTTTTGAAGGTTAAAGGACAAAGACAAAATAATAGTAGAATGTAGAAATTACTATGCTGGTGACTATTCTGTACTGCTTTAGTGTTTTTAAAGTGTATACTGTTTTTTAATTGTCTTGGGTTATGTAATGTTTTCCTGTGGGATCATAGTAAAAATTCCTACTGTGTAAAATTAAATTTTTTAAAAATTATTTTGCAGGTATTTTGAAAGGTATTTTATAGTTCATTTGTGTTTTCTTTCAAGTCAAATTAGTTAATGGTAGCTCTTTGGCTTGATTACTTATATGTGCTTTTTTTCAAAAATTAAAAACTTGCTAAATGTTTAAATACCTAAGTTAGTATCTTTGGTTTTTTTCTGTTTTCAGTCCATCTGGAAAATAAAATTTGTTATTTATTACCTTCATCAAACAATCTAGAATATGTAAATTCTTGTCAGTATATTTTCAAGGAATATACTGTGTTAACAGCAGCTGCTTCCTGCTTCCCAGTCAGTACCCTGGCATACACTGTCAACCCCTCACTAAAATGCGTTTCAGTTTTACTTTAAATGGCACTTTTGAGATCCGCCTGGGTAGTTTCATAATATTGAATGATTTGATTGAAAACTAGAGACTATTAAGGAGTCCTGTAAGAGACTGAAGCAATTATATTATTTTATTGAAAATTACTTCAAGGCTTTTTTTCATTACTTGAGTAAATATTTAATGAATGCTGTGTGTTAAGCACCACAGATAGATGTACAAAGAAACCACAACAAAAAAGTCATGATCTTTTGGGTCAGAAATGAAAAAGATGGATGTTAAGTGTTAAGATGGATATGTCTGTAATTAATCTTATTTTTTTATATTTGCCCATAAAGCTTGGAAGCAATAAATTGAACTCTTAACATGTACCTTGTTTCCGCCTTGATAATCTAGGATAAAGTTGAAAGGCAATTTTTAAAAGAAAATATATGTTGAAATGAGTAGAGGTTTTCAAGTTATATGCATGAAAAATTGGTTGTAATTGTAAATAGAAGCATCAGAAGTAGTGAATACTATTGCTATATTAAATAATGCTTTTTTTACTCTTAGGATATTCCTCATAAACAGCTTTTATCTTACCATTCTTTGTGATCTACATTAATGATACAGATTTAATGAGCTAAGACAGTACTTTGACATACGAGGCATTTAGCTATATTGTTATGGGTAACTTGTTTTCTTGATAATTATGTCATCATAGTTGTAGTCCTTGTAATAACTATGCTTTGCCTTTATTTTATTTTTATCTGTAGCTAACCACCTCCATGAAAATAATGCTCAAATTGAAAACTGGTACGTAACTGTTTTGTTCTCCTTCTTTCTAAAACTTAAGAATCCTAAGTGAAAATAAAGTTTTATATTATTGTTTTTATAGCAGTAATATCTTGGCCAAAGAGAGAAGGCTCCAATTTCATCAGAAAGGGAGAAGTATGAATTCCACTGGCTCTGGGAAAAGTAGTGGGACAGTTTCAAGGTAACTTGCTCTGAAGTTATGGAGGGGTGACATGTTACACTGACATGCTTGTCATATTTTTAGTCTTAGATTTGACTTTCATAATATTCAGTCAAAGAATTCTAAAGTGTTTTCTGGGTAAACATAACTGAGAGGAGCTTCTTTAAAAAGAAAACAAAACAAATTAATGAAAATCACAAGTATGTTTATAATGCTGCTAGACTCCATGAATGAAAATTTGGAGTCCTATCAACCAGAGAGAGATACATAATAATACAGTGACTTCTGCTGGTAGAGAGCCAAAATCCCCTATCTGTTAGGAATTCAAGTTATCTGTGACATGAAAATTAGAATAAACTTTTCTAATTTAAAGCTTGATGCTTAAGAATAATTTTTAGCATATTAAACAAAAGATCTTTAAAATACACATTAAGATAAAGCTAACACATGGGCCTGTGACACCACTTTAAACTGTTACCCAGTTACTGTGGCGCAGTCTGAGCCTTTATCCAAAACCGACTGAAGTGTCCTGGTTAGATTCCATGTAACTTTCCTGCTCACTGACCTTTAGAAAGCCTGGATTATCATTGGTGTGAGAGGAAAGGGATAAGACACATTTAATTCCTAAAAGAATCAGGCAAGAAATCATCTGTACCTTCCCTTCCCTTACTCTTACTCCCTCCTAAGTGGGAGTTGTGAGAGGGGAGTTGAAAATTGGCTCCTCTTGCCCTTTCCAAGATTAAGTCACCTGGATTGCTGTCCTAGACAAAGACAGCAAGAAAGCTCCAGGTTTGCAGTGTTTCTCAATACCAAAGCTTACAAACGTCCTTGTGTGTTTTTCCTTTTCATTTCTTTAATCTGCTTTTCCCTTATTTTGCTTCGTCCGTCCTTCAGTTATTTTAGTTGCTTTGCTGAGAAACTCCTAAAATGAGGAAAAAAAAAAAAGTAAGGAATTCTTTAGAGTGTGTTCCCAGTGATCAGCTCTTTTTTCCAACACTGACAATCTCCAAGAGTGGGATGACCAGTATATATTCTGCTAATGGGCGTGTATTCCATTAGTCCATGATATAAATGATGTTGAAATAAATAGTAGTTTAAAGAGCAAAAGCTGAGAAGATTTTATCATAGAAAAGCAAGAATATGTTTAGTTTATAATGTGGTTTGGACAATAAATTTGCTTTATATCTTACTGCATCTTTTGTTTTCTTTTGGTAGTGTTTCAGAATTATTGGAGCTTTATGAGGAAGATCCTGAAGAAATTCTTTATAATCTTGGATTTGGACGAGATGAACCTGATATCGCTTCTAAAATTCCTTCCAGATTTTTTAATTCATCATCATTTGCCAGAGGAATAGATATTAAAGTATTTTTGAGTGCTCAAATGCAACGAATGGAAGTAGAGAACCCAAATTATGCTTTAACAAGTAAGGCTTTTAATTATGAGCATATCGTTTTTAGGGTGATAGCATCTGCAGTAAGATGGTTTCATTTTTAAAGCCCAATTGACTTAATGGACTAGCACTGCAAAGTTAATGATGTTAATACAATAGCAATGTTATTTATTCTGAATTTTTATTCTATTTGAAGAGGTTAACATGTGTTCTCCCCAATTATTGACTCTTTTAAGGGTTCTCATAACTTACTTTAAAGCCTTGTACTTATCTCCATGTTGTGTTTATTCAAGAAGGAAAAAAGTAGGTGTAGGGCCTTGATAACATTACAGAAAGTCAGTTCATTTTAGATGTTCTACTGTAAATCCAAAATAGCATGGCCAATTTTACTATTTTTATTGATACTATAACTTTGCTTATTTTTTTCTCTGTTGACTAATGGTTTAAAAAATAGGATTCCTTTGCCATTCATGGGTCCTTTTTAAGAACTTTATAAATCTTTTCAGTATGTAAAGTACTTTTGTGCATTTTTCTGTTTTTTGAGAGTTTTCTGTTTTTGTTTTTTTTTTTGTTTTGTTTTGTTTTGTTTTTTGTTTTTTTGGGGGGACAGGCTTTCACTATATAGTTCCGGCTGACCTTGATCTTACTAGGTAGCAAGGGATGGCCTAGAACTGGTGACCGTCCTTCGGCCTTGGCCTCCCACGTGCTACCAAGTGGCATGTGCCACCATTCCTGGCTTGTACATATTTTTAATAAAGCATTTAGAAAAGTCTTAATAGAGTTCAAGGTCTAAGCACAAATCACAGCTGTCCTTCTATAGCTAGTTCTGTTTTATTTGGTATGGTCATTATGCTTTGTGCTTTGTTTACTTTGTTTGTTTGGTATATTTTAGGTTTATAGTAAAAGTCTTCTTCCCTACCTAGTGAATGCATACAACATTTAAGTGTTTAAGTAAGAAATATGATTTCATTGTATTTGTGATTGTAGTAGATTTCCAAACAGTATAGGTTTAACAGACATGCATTTATAAACATCTGTATATATACACGTAAAATCACTGTTTCTTTTATTTTGTTTGTGTAGGCCGTTTTCGTCAAATTGAAGTACTTACTACTGTGGCCAATGCATTTTCTTCTTTATACTCCCAAGTCTCAGGGACTCCCCTTCAGAGAATTGGCAGTATATCTTCAGTGGCCTCTACCAAGGAGACAGACACGCCTCCACCCTTAACCCGAAGTAACACTGCAAATCGTTTAATAAAAACACTATCGAAACTAAATTTATGTGTTGATAAAGCGGAGAAGGGAGAGGGTAGTAGTCCTCCTGGGGTTGAAAAAGGGAAGATTTTCAATGTTGCACTAGTGGAAGAAAGTGGCAATAAAAATGACCAGAAGTCTCAAAAGGTAAAGAAGAAGGACTCATCTTCTGTGTTGGCTACAGTTAAAGAAGAAGTCTCAGGTAGTTCAGCTCCTTCTAAGGAGGGTGCTGACCCTGGCAGGCTTTCTGATGAAGCAAACCGTAATTTTAGCCAAGAAACTGATAGTGAGCAAAGTAACAAAACTCAAAATCATGAGGAATCTGGCATTGTAGAACCTCACATAGCTAGTGATTTCAGTGTGTCCAGCCCCAGTCAGCTGGAAGACAGCAGTGATCTGAAACACATCCATGTGTCCACACCTGAGAAAGAACCTTGTGCACCGCTGACCATCCCCTCCATCAGGAATATAATGACCCAACAGAAGGACTCCTTTGAAATGGAAGAGGTAGGTAAAAATTTACTGAGAGCAGTAATAGCTAGGGGGAAAAGTGCCAAAAGTGCGTGTGAAATGAGAAATCGTTCATAGGTTTGTACTAGAAATATGCGTCCTTGTGTTGACATCGTGGGTTTATGTTTCACAAACAAGAGTGCTCACAGACCTTTGTGGTGTTCTGAGGCATTGGTGCAACTTATCAGCCCCTCCAGTGTCTCTGCCACCCACCACCTGATACCTGACATATAACCCGTTTTCCCTCTCAAGTGTAAGAGTCTGATCCCAAGAAGACTCTGAGAGAGCACATTCAAATTCAAATCAGTGTTGCATAATAGTTTAAAACATAGGCTTTGAAATCAAAGAGGTTTGTGTTCAGTCTGCCACTGAATTGCTGTGGGGAACTTTTCTTGAGACATCTCAGTGGTAAGAAAAAGGGTAAAGAAGGCTTGGGGACAGATGTGGGTGAAGGTACTGGATTCCTGGAAGGGAGCTTGGGGAGTCCAGGTAGGGACTGAGGGGCCACTACTAAGTAGGGTTTTCTACAGGTAGGGAACTCATTTGTTGGCTTTTTATTCACTGATATTTCTGCTAGTTAACACAAATTTTGAATTGCACACAATAAAAATGCTCATCTTGATGAGGTTTAGATAAAACTCCTTTTTTGTTGTTTTTTGTTTGTTTTTCCTGTGCTAGGGATTGAATCCAGGGCCTTGCATGTGCTAAGCAAGCATTCTGCTGACTAGCTTTGTTTGTTACTGGGGACTGGGCTTCACTAAGTTCCCCAGGCTGGTTGTTAATTTACAGTCTTCCTCTTGCCTCAGCTTCCTGAGTACCTGGAGTTACAGGTGTGTACCAGCCCACCTGGTTTCAAACTTTTGAACTGTAGGAACTGACTCCTGTTAGGTGCTGTGTAGTCCAAGCCAGTGCTTATCAGGATGCCTTGTGGAAGGCTTTGTGCAGTGTGCTTGGCCCTTGACGTGTTTGTCTCTCAGGCCAGGGAGGCAGGCAGTGGTGGTCTCGTTTTCACATGAAGAAATTGAGGCATGTGTGTGTTAGTGAAGAATTGTACCTGTAAATTATATAACAGTGTGTAGTTTTCCTTTTTGAAAATTTATGGCACAGAAATTCCCTACAGTAATAACAGTTTTAGAATCATATGTGCATTATTTTAGAAAAGTGGAAAATGGGATGATTGTTTGTGCCAATAAATACCTTCTTAGATGGTTGGTCTCATTTTAGTGAAGCTTTTTCATTTACATAAATTCAGCTGCCAATAGTCATTTACCTTTGGGGGGAGGGGCTTTGAATCTATTTTTAAATACTTTAATTGCATCGAAGCTCTGTGAGATATTTTAGTTTTCTTATAAAATTTTTCATTTCTTCTAATATTTTATGTTTGTTTCTTTAATTTGTGACACAATTTCTCATTAGAGTGAGTAAAATGACTGATGAATGCATTGAAACCTCTTTTTTTGTTTCTTGATTCCTATTTGACTGTTTTAATCTAAACTGGACCTAGTACTTGAAATTAAAGTGTAAGCGCTTACCTTAGGGCCCCTCTTCTGTGATAATTACCTGTGACAGTCAGTTTCCTCACTGTAAAAAGTATAACAACCTGTACGTACTATGTTTGTTGGGAATCTGATGTTGGTATCAGATTGGACAATATTATGTGTATATTTTCAAATAAATCAAAACAGTGCTTTTCTCTAGAAATTTGGCCTTTAAGCTATAATGTATGCTTATTCTTTTAAACATTTAAGATAGTATGCATAAGACTGTAAACATTTATGGTGCGCAAGATGCACTTTGGTGCGTTGACTTTATTGGCGACAGACTGAATAGTTTTGCTCCCTCTACTGGCAAAACCAGTTAGTGAAAAAGTGATGTGGGCATGTTGTAATGTACAGCGTTGCTTGCTTTGTTGATTGAAGAATAAGGGAAGCTTTTTGTTTAAAAAAAAAACAAAAAAGAATATTTGATCAACCACAGTGACATTTTAAATAGGGGGAATTTTAAGGCTAATGAATTCTTTTTCTGATATATTTAAAATACAGATTAGAGAAAAAATGAACTTTGAATTCTGTTTTTATCCCTTTGGGAACTTTAAAGAAAGCTTGTAGAACAATGGATAAAGAGGGGAAATAATGTGTTATTTTAATTTCCTCTTAAGCTTGATTTGAATCATATTGACAGATGAGAACAATCTTACTGAAGCAGACTTTCAGCTCCTATTCAAAGTGGCTTTTTCTTTTGAATCCCTTTTAGTTGAGGTTTGATTCCTGTTGAGAATTTTCTTCCTGTACAAACAGCGAATAAGCATAAGTCACAGCCTTGTTCCTCTCAGAGAGCCAGTTCTTAACCTGATTATCTGAACGCTGGCTGTGCTGGGATGCCAGGAGGCAGAGTGCTGCAGGCATGGTTCTATTCAGGCAGCTGCCTGCCGTGCCCACACAGGAGGTAAGACTGGCATCTCCAGCTCCAAAGAGGGAGGAGGGTGCTTGGATGTGAAGAGGCCCCAATAGATGACAGAACCGGTCCAGGCCTAGGAGAATGGAAATAGCTGTTTCTTATGTTAAAAAATGAAAAGGATAGACTACTGTGTTTTCACTTTAAAGTCAACTTACCTTATAGAAATTTCGGAATCTTACTCTTCAGTGTTCTATTTTTTGTTTTTTAGAGAGTATTCTGATTCTCAGTAACTTGGATGGATAACTGTTAGATTTTCCCTGATTAAGTGTTGCGACTGTATCATGGTAACTCTGCAGAGCCGTAGAGTAGTAGTAATTCGACTGACCTTAACCAAAGCAGTCCTACCCCATAGGCAAGGGTTTCTCTCTTAGATCTAAAAGAAAACCTTATGCTTAGTTGTTGGAGGAAGAACTTTTTATCTGTGTATTTGTGAAACAATGTCTTCTTACCGTGCAAATGAACTTTATTTAAATATAATCGTTATCATATATATATGCAAACTTCTTAAAATGCTGACATTTCAGTAACTTTTTAATCTTGTCTTCATACTGATTGCTAGTTTAGCTATTATAGCTCACCACTAACTGCTAAGTCTTAGATTTTTTTGTCTCCATTATTCTGTTAAGATAATCCAAAATCAGATATTTTACAATCAGTTGTTTCTTAAATTTAACAGTGTGTTTTTGAAGGCAAGAATGTATTTTTACACATGCTATCTGTATAGATAGAAGTCTGTTGCTTCAAAGCCCAAATAAGCATTGTATTTTGGTATTTGTTATTTATCTACAATACCTTAACATTTTTTAAAAAAATGTACATAATAGTAAAAATAAACTGTGTGTGTGCATGCAGTTGTATGTGTAAAATTTGGGAGCTTTCATTGGAATTAAACTTTATAAGTAATGATAGAATCATAGACTAGCACAGAAAGGGATCTTGGAGTTTATTTTCCAGTTTTTTTTTTTTTTTTTTTTTTCTTTCTTTACAAGTGAGAAATCTCCCCGCTTCTTCGCATTATTGTTACATAACAGCTGTGTGGCTCTTCTAGGATCCTGGGAGACAGAAGTTTTCATCTTTGTTTTACAATAGAGAAAACTAAGATGCATATCACAGGAATTGTCACAAGCCATTTATCCACTTAATGGTGTGGATAAGATTTGAATTCCAGTCTTTCTGTAGACCACCTCCTTTTAACTACGCTGCACAGCTAACATACAGGTTGACTGGTTGGCAGGTTGGACATGGGACTCTAGTTGCCAGGCAACTAGTACAGCCCCACATGACTTCCTTCGAAAATAATGCTTTCTTCTGAAGTTTTTTGGGATTGAAAATTGAACAGAATTACAATCTTTAAAACTCTTAATTTTGATTTTTTTTCAAAATGAGATATATATGTCTCTAACCTGTAGTGGAGCATTTGAGTTAGAATAGCCATAGCCTGCTGGTCTGCGGAAACAGTGCAGTAATGCTGTACCTACGAAATGCACCTTAGTCAAGATAAACGTGACACCTGTTCAGGAACCAAAGTAGGGGCCTCTCGTGTCAGCGTGACAGTGATTCAGAAAGCTGTGGTTTGTGCAGTTAGCCAAATGTGTGGGTTGTACTTGAGCTGTTTTTATACTTCTTTAAATCCTAAATACAGAGACCAGGGATTTTATCATTTTGGTTCAGTGGGGGTTTTTTCTTGTTTATTTTTTATTTTGTTCCAATCGTACCTGCAGGTTGATTAGTACAATGAGCACCTATTCATTATCACTTGAGTCAGTTACATTCCGCCCACAGGAATTTTGTGAAAAGCTTTCTGTAACATACGACCAGAGTCCTACTGTGCATTTGAACCATTGAACAGAGAAAGTCCCCTCTGTTCCAGTGTGAATCCTCTGTGTGTGTCACCATTTTTCTGAAGTGAACACATCTTAAATTTGACTGCTTGCCTTTGCACATTGTGACCAAAATAAAATATAAGTTAAGGAATTTGCCCACTGTCACTATCTTGTCTGTTTCTGACTTCAACAATTGCATACTCTTAAATGAGAATAATAATTTAGTGCTATTAATAAAATTCAGACTTTCAGAGTTTTAAAGTGACCCTTTCTTGCGCTTAATGAGGGACTGTGGAATTGAAGATGAAAGAACAGATTTTGTTTTGGCCTAGAGTAACGTTTTTATTGTTTGTTTACTTACTTTTGCAGTAATGAAGATTGAGTCAAGGTCTCAGACTAAGCTACATCCCCAGCCCTTTTTTTGTTTTTTTTTTTTTTATGGTGAGACAGGATTTTGCCAAGTTGCCCAGGATGGCCTTCAACCTGGTGATCCTCCTGTCTCAGCCTCCTAAACTACAGACTTGATCCACCCTGCCTAGCAAGAGTAACATTTTGAAGAATAATACACTGACAAAACTTGTTCTTTAAAGTCTTGTTACTTTGTGATTAATTTTATAAGTCCAGAGAAATAGAATTATGTGTTAATCTTGCATTTAAAAATAAGAGATTATAATTTGGGATGTGCAAAGGTGGTAGCCAAGCAGAGATCCCTGGAACATAAATAAAAATGTCATTTGGTTTCTCTTACATGGTTTTAATGTGCTTGATACTTATTTTATAGAAAACTCTTTGAAGTAGGCTGAGTTTGAACAGTAGCTAATAATAGACCTTTTGTTGAATATAAAAAGAAATTCATTTTGTTTCCTCACACACAAAACAATGGTTTTCCTGTTGAACTTGTTTCTACTGCTTTGAGTACTATATTATTATTTTTCAATAATAACAAAGAATCACAGGACTTACACATCTGTTATACATGTAAAGTTTTAAATGACCACTATGCTTCCAGTTTTAAAAAGATTCATAATCAGAAGGGATTTTGGGTCGGGTAATAATACCTTTAAACTTTGGACATTTTCATGCTGGCTTTTCTCTTTGCCCTATGGGATGTTTCTTCTTGAATAGACTTATAGCTCTAAACTTAAACAGAATTCTACTTCAGATCTTGCTCACCTTACTCAGATATTATTTACTATTTCAATACTAATCATTTTAGGGCACAGTGATGGAAATTGGTATACTTCCTTCTCCAATTTTTTAACCTTTTTCAGAATTAGTTTTGTTAGAATAGGTAAAATATTTGCAGAGTGAAGGTAGCATTTAGGGATGTGAAAATTTCTAAGTAATGTAGTTGTGCAGATAGAAAAAGATTCCCAAAAAGACAACTCTTGTGGCTCTGATACCTTCCCAATATAGTTTTTAGGGAAGATTTTTCAGATCTTTCAGCAGTTTAGTTCTATAATAAAATCTGCCTTTGTACTTAAAACTCCCAAAATATGTCTCAAGAGTTAGCAGGACAAAGCATTCTTACATATGAATGATACTCAATACCTGAAAATTTGTGTGATTCTAGAAAATGTTGTGATGGGAGCTTCTTGTTCCATTTTCAGATATGCAGGACTTGTAAACTGCCTCTCTTGTGTGTGTCAGTCACAGCCTACTGCACTGAGGATTCACGTTCCTCCTGTGATAGAGAGCTGGCTTTTTTTTTTTTTTTTAGTAGCAGCTTTTTAGAAGTGAAAGAGTTCATGCATGCAGTGTTTTTTCTCTGCTGGCTACTAAAGTGAATGTTACTGTTAACTAGAAACTAGACCTGAAAATTCAGAGGCAAGATATTCTAATTATTTTGAGATATGTCTAAATTTTATACAGTGCTTTAGTGCATGTTAGTCAGGCTTATTTGTTTAATAAAAGGTTATAAAAAGATTGTTTTTCTTTGCTATTGCGTGTTTAGTTTTTTGTTTATTTGTTTAACTGTATTAGTTCTAAGTACTGAAAATTCTTCTTTAGGTTCAGAGCACAGAGGGAGAAGCTCCTCATGTTCCAGCTACTTACCAGCTAGGCCTCACTAAGTCCAAAAGAGGTAAGTCAGCTAATACCCAGTGGTTCCAAAGTGCATTTACTCAAGTGATGTCGCTGCATTTGGAAAACATGCTTATTGTGTGTAGCAGCAGTAATTGTAGAAAGTAGGGATACAGAGAGACATGCTTCTTCATTATTTGCTTATCTGATTTTTGTATTTTCTTGAAGACTTGTGCTGATACACTAATACTAGTTTGTTTATCCTGTGATAACCTCTTTACACAGTCATATGTGCTCCAAATATTTTTCAGTTCTGCATCAGGGCTGGGTGAGAATTGATCAAAGAGCATCAGAGTAGGGCTACTTTGTACATTGTTATGATTGAAAAATATAGTTGTGTTACCCATCAGTGTATTTTCATTACTCAGATGTAACTCATAAGTATGCTGTATGGAGTATACCTGTGGCAAGAAGCACCAGTTTGTCAGCAGTAGTTAAACCTAGTTAAATTATTTTTTTATATATTAATTTTATTTAAGGAGAAAAGAAAAAAAAAGCAGAGAAAGGGTACAAGTTATACAGATTTACAGAAAAAAAAAATGAACAGTAGGAAATCACTAGTTAATGGATTACATATTGTCATCTTAGAAATAATTGTTCAAGTCACAAAATTAAAGCTTGTAAAGTGGACATTCCAACAATGATACTGCAAACAGTTCTGTTCATTGATCCAATAAAACTCTGTGATATCATTTTCTATCTTATACACTTAAATATACATGCAGTTATATAGTTTAGAGCACTTTCTTTTCCTCTCTTTTATACAGTGACTATTACACATTTTGGGTTTCATTGCTCCCACGGTTCTTATTACTTTTTTGGAAGAGAGTAAAACCAAATGTGACATAACAGAACAGAATCGGTCAAGTCAAAAGGGTGGACATAATAGGTAATGTAAAAACATAAAAAAAAAAAAAAGACAACCTAGTTAAATTAAATGCAGCTGTGAGTCAAAGGTGAGCGGTCGTAGTACTGTGATTCTCTTGAATTATTAATTATTGACCAAAGAACCTTTGAATCCATTCCTTTCATTTGTAGCTTGCAATCAGAAAAAAGATGTCTGGTTTAGAGTTTGTGAAGCTTTTGAGATTTAGAGAAAGGGAAAGGAAGAAGTTAAAATGACCACTGACAGTAGGAGGACTGTTTATTTTTAAAACTTTGCACATGCTGAACCGCCCGGCTTTTTTTTTTTCAAACAAAGATTTATATGTGTGTTCCTAGAATAGGAAATTACATGTTTGTTCCCTCCTGATCTCTGGAATTGCTTCAGAAGGGACATTTGGATGTGATTTTTTTTCTTTTCTTGCAATAGGCACTGAAGAACAAGAGTATCACTCTCACTAGGTTACTGTAGTTCTAAACTGACAGAAAATGAACTTTTGTACTTAATTTTTTTCCGTTGTAAATCCACAAATCCACATATGTGTTTCTGAACTCTAAGGCAGGTTCATGAAAATGAAGGAATTCCTGCTGTGGATGTTAGACAAGAGACATATTGGAAAAAACAGCATATATCAAAGGAGGACTAAAAAGTAAAATTAATTTGTGTCACAGTGGTGAGGGAGATGGAATATGATTTGTATTTATGTCGGGGACAAGGACAGAAAATAGCAATAGTAACTTAAATTTTTTTGAAAGGTAGCCTATCAGTTCTAAATGTGATGTGTAAGTAATTTAGATAATTCATAATTACAGAATTATGAATTACTGGTACAGAATTACTGGTAATTACTCATTTCACAAACTTAGTAAAAGTGGATATAAGATGTTAGAAGAAGGACTTTTGAAGTTAAAGTTACTTATTCTCTAATCCAGTCTGGAATTTACCTTGAGAGTGTTGGTGAATCAGCTCAGCATCACAGGGTGGTGGGTACAGTGAGAGTAGCCCTAAGTTTTTCTTGTTACAGAAGACACACAAATTATCTTTAGCAGAGAATATACAAGTTTTTGTTTTGTTTCTTTATGATACTGAACAAATAAGAAGTTTCCAGATTTGAAGATTTTTTTCCTCTTACTTTAATGTCTCCTCTAACATCCTAGTTTTAAATTAGAAATAAAATCATACATCAGGACAAACATTTAATCTGTGTTTTAGTTCCACTCGTTTAATGGGGAACTTTTTTTTATTGTAAAACAGAAATGCCTGACCAAAGGGCATAGTTGTTCCTTTATGGTTTACAAAACAGTTTCACCTGTGTTCTGCTTTGCTCCTTAAGGAGCCATGTTGAGCTGGGAGAGAATCATGGTTACTGCATTTTGAAGAGGAGAAAAGTTACTGCTTTGGGTGTTAAACACACAGTAAAAACTTGCACCCAGGCCTGTGTGCTTTCTTTTGCTCCCAGCTGCTCTGAAGCCTCATCAGTCTGCCTTAGGACCTAACCTGTACATGTGGACGGGGCTCAGCAGCTGCAAGGGGAGCAGCCCAGACCCTCCTCTGCTGCAGATGAAAGGGCGCGGAGAACCCAGGCTGAGCTGGCCGCCTGGCCCCCTGGCCCCCTGGGTCGTGTGGCTGGTGTTTTTGCCTTTGCCTAACCAGATAGGCATTGTCACTTCCTGATCATTTAAATGTCCACTTCATTCTCTTGTCGCTTTTACTGAGCAATCATTTTTTATTGTCAACTTGTTCTGACATACTGGAATATGAGGAATAAATAAGGTTTCTGCTTTTAAAGCCTAACAATCTAGTTTAAAAAAAAACAGGCAAACATAATTACTATAATAACTGCTCATTACTATGGCAACTGCTGTGATTTAGGGTATTAATCATTTTTATTAATGCCTAATTAATACTGATACAACAGCTTAGTGCAATCCAGTTTCATAATTCCATTTTACATAAATTTAACAAGAGTATGGAGTGGGTTTTGTATTTCATTATGTAGTTTTATTAATATTACAATAGTTGGGGCTGGGGATTTAGCTCAGCAGCATAAGCGTCTGCCTTGCAAGCAAGCAGTCATGAGTTCGTCCCTGGTACCAATAAAAAAAATATATTACAATAGTCAGAATTACTCTAAAATTAAATGGGGGTAAAATCTCGCTAGTCCATGAAACCTGAGGCTGCTATGAAATATTTTAAAACATCAAGAGAACTTTAATTAATTTTGGATTTTATTCAGTCAGATCATCTAGTTATTTCTCTATATGGTTCCGATCTTAAGTGAACATGGGTTTGGTAAACACACTGCCTTTACCCTGTTGCTGTCTAAGTTCTGTGGACTTGCTGTCCTCCGAAGGGGCGGCCCTTGAGAAAGGGGAGTAGCTGCTGTCTCCCACTGTGGCAGGTGGATGGAATGTGATCTTGCTTGGTGTGTTTAATCGCCATTTTACCTACTTAACATTGTTTTAGGTTAGCTAGTAATTGAGTTTTGCAGCAGAAAAATAAACAGAAGCATTTTATAAGACTAGCAATGTCATATATTAGTTGAATCTGTTTGAAATTGTTGGGAAACAGTTGTTTCATAACTTAAAAATGTTTGCATCATTTGAAACATCAGGTGTATTGAAATGTATCCTATTTTTTATTACTCATTTTGAGACAAAGAATCCTAAGTCCAGACAGGGTTTGAATTTGCAGTCCTTCTGCCTCAGCTTCCCAGAGGGCTGGAATTCCAAAGTTAGCATGAAGATACATGTTTTTGTACATTTTACACTTAAAATTTTTTACTTTAATTCCTAAATGTCTTTACACTTTTATGTACTATAAATGATTTTCTTTAGGGACTCCTATGTTAATAGAGGCATTTTTTTTTTTCAAAACAGTGATTCTTCTAAAGATAAAGACATTAAATGTATTTACTAAAATGCAGTATAATTAGAGCTTAATTAGTGACTGCTGAGTTTTTGGTAGACAATCTGATTGTTTTTGTTTGAACTTAAGTCTTATGCTTTGAAGTCACAATTTTGCATAAATAATACATAGTTTTCTAAGAAGGAGTCTGTGCTGTGTGTCTTTTATGGATTGGGAATCATGTCTGTAATAACTGCTTTTTTGCTGGCAGAGCATCTGTTACGTACTACAAGTCAGCATTCTGATAGCAGTGGTTTTGCTGAAGATTCTACGGACTGCTTTTCCCTTAATCATCTTCAGGTAAAATTTCCTTGTGTAGTAAGAAGTATAATGAATTTACTCATTTGACGGTGATTTTTTTTCAATAGCTATTTCAAGACTGGATCTCTTATTTTTACTTTATTATTGTTTTAAAATTTTTATGGAGTTACTTTTCACATAACAATAGAATAAAACTTCTGGAATGTAGATGTTCGGTAAGTGTTTGACTGTGAATTGTAGGTTCCACTAATTCCTTATCTCTCTGACCCAGTTGGTTTTTTGTTTGTTTGTTTTGGTTTCTGTTTTGAAAAGGCTGATTCTTAACTCTTTTGGATCACTGGTAAACAGTTTAATTTGATCATGTCCTGCTAAGTCTGTTAGTTTTCTTGCTTTTTAATCAGTGTGTTCTAGCATTTTGCAGTAACGATTTTGCTTATTTAATAGCTCACATTAGATGTGGATCCTAATACTTAATAACTCAATGTCGTTGTTACACTGAAGTTTGTGCTTGATTCTGTTAGGTAACTCAGGAAGCAAGCACAGATCTGTTTTTAATGAGCTTGTAGTTTGTATGTGGAGTCAAATAGTGCAGAGGAAGAGACTTTAAAACGTCCTAAACAAATTTTAACAGTGACTGGAATGACAAAAGCACTTACAGAAACAGTATTTAAATGGTGAAGAGAAGAGATTCATCTAAGGTGACTCAGACAAGAAGTGGGCAGAAAAGTGAAATGAGAGTCTTTGGGAAAGAAGTTGTGGGTCTCGTGAGAAGGTCAGGTTGTGGCTGGCAAGGAGACAGATGGAGGACCCAGCAGTGCTGATGGAGTAAGCATGGCTGGAGTGTGAGTCCATGGGGAGGACAAGAGTAGGGGTGGCGACTGTTCTCTCAGGTAAGAGTGATGGTTGTGTGTCGTTTTAACATTGGAATGGCTGAGCAAAGGGCCAGGGAGAGACAGGGAGAGAAGGAAAGAGAGGGAGAGGGGGAAAGGGAGAGAGAGATCGAGAGAGGGGGAGAGAGAGAGAAACAGAGAATGAATTTGTTCCAGAACAATCTGGGATTAATGGTGGACAAACACCCTGGTCCTGGAGAGACAGAGATGAGAAGCACAGATTGGAGGAGTCACTTCAAAAAGGGGTCGTTTCCTTTCAGAATGGCCAGACAGAGAGGGTGATGGGAAGAGACAGAGGAAGCTTGTACGTTTTGGAAAAGAATGTTAGGAGAGTCAGTGTTATGTGTGGGAAGAAGAGAAAGAGAGTGTTGGCAGGGAAAATTGTGAAGTTCTGAAATCATTTTGTGAGAAAATGAGGAGGTGTTAGCTGATTCGGGTCAGTGAAACAATTAGAAGCAGCCCAGGGCCACAGCTGATTTGGAGGCGACACAGGCACAGCTGCATCCCATCCCCTTGGTGTTGGCCAAGGATGCTTGGTCCCTGTGTGCTCATCATCCCCTCTGGCTCCTTCTCACAGGTCCACGAGCCTTTGCAAGCCATGGGGAGTAGCGCTGATAGTTGTGACAGTGAGATGACAGTCACGTCATTTGGTGAAGACCTTGTTACACCAACAACACAAGAGCAGCCTTATTTTAATGAGTCAGAGGAAGAGTTGCCAAACCCTCTGCAGAAAGAAAGGGAGAAGGCGGCAGCAGCTGCTGACAACAGAGAGTCGGATAGCCAGGATTCCCCTCAGTGCGAGCCTGAGGAGAGTGTGAGACACCAGCCGTCCTCTTGTCCTCCTGGGGATCCTGTGACTGAAGCTGCTGAGGTGGAACAGGGTTCAGCTTCAGCACCGACAGTGGAGCCCCTGAGAGAAGCAAGCATTGAAAGTGATGTGGACCGAAGTAGTGAGTGTGAATTTCCCCAGTACAACACACACCATATCTCTCAATCACTGGCTTCCATTGAAGCTCAGTGCAGTGATCTACGCCCTGAGAATACAAGTGGGCCTCTCTCTTCTGTGGACCGAGTGAATACCGCTTTGCAGAGAGCACAAATGAAGGTTTGTAGCCTGTCTAATCAGAGGGTTGGGCGGAGCCTGATCAAATCCAAGGATCTGTTAAAAAAAAGGTACTTACTTGCAAAAGCTGGCTATCCCCTAAGAAGGTCTCAGTCTTTACCAACGACCTTACTGAGCCCCGTCAGGGTTGTGTCCTCCGTCAACGTCCGGTTATCTCCCGGGAAAGAGACCAGGTGCAGCCCGCCTTCTTTCACCTATAAGTACACACCTGAAGAGCAACAGGAATTGGACAAAGAGAGCACTGCCCCTGATGGTCAGTCTTTAGTCAAATCCACCATTTTCATCTCTCCGTCGTCTGAGAAGAAGGATGAAGAGACCTCCCGGGGCGAGGCGAGCCAGGTGGAGGAATGCCATCATGGAAGGACTCCTGTCTGTCCCCAGTTTGCTCCTGAGCGAATATCTCAGTCCACCTGCTCCCTTCACACTCTGCACGAGTGGCATGACAGGCCGCTGTGTGAGCACATGAGAACGCTGAGTACGCACAGTGTCCCCAACATCCCGGGGGCCACCTGCTCTGCCTTCCTGTCCCCTCTCGGGTGTCCTTACTCACACAGACATGCTGCATACCCGTGCCGAGCGGCTGCCGTGAATCCCCCTTCCGCCATAGAAATGCAGTTGCGAAGAGTGTTGCATCATATTAGAAACTCCCTGCAGAACCTTTCACAGGTAAGAGAAAGGGCTGATCTTTTTAAGTATTTTTTGTTCTTTCTGCTCTGGTCACCTTTTAACTCACGAGAAGCAAAAACCTGTCTGGCATAAACTATGTTAGCAGTACTTTTTCTATGTTTAAACTTAACTACACCTGTCCTCCTCTGCACTTCCCTCCTATTTCATGGGAAAACAGAGCTTCTTGGCTCAGAATCTCCTTCCCTTCCTGGAAGGATTTTGCTCATTAAATAGCCTCCCTTCTTCAGTCTGTCATCCATTGTTTTTACCTTACTTTAAGCATTAAGTGGTCCTGTTTAAAAACAAAAACAAAATTTCTCTCTCTCTTTCCTGCTGTTGGATGTGTTGTCCACCTCTTCCTTTTCTGAGTTCTTGTCCTGCTGGCTTCAGTGGCACCGCAGTCTGGCTCAGCTGGTAGCTCTCTAAGCTTCCCCTTCACTTACTGACCTCTGATGCTGGTCTCCTGGCCCAGGCTTAGTCTCCTTCCACTGGGTTCAAAGACTCAAACTGCTCCAGAAGAGAAAAAAGAATCAGGTACAGTGTGAATTCAGAATGCATGTAATCTTTTACTGTAAAAGAGTAGACAGCAAGCCACTTTGAAAGTAAAAATCAAAGTTGTAATGTTTCAAGTCATGTAAGATATAATGCCTTTAAGTATATATTTTATCCTTGGGATAGTTGTTTCCCCTTGCAGTTTAACAAAAATGTGGGTGTTTCTTCCTCCTCCAAGAAATGTAGTTCTAACTATGCCTCAGCTATTTCACGTTTTCACTGAAGTTGTGTATAGCTGAGGATTTCCAGAGCCTTGTTGTGTACCTTTCTGGGCCAGCTGTTTTGCCCTCATGGTGGTTTCTTCCTCTTGGATCTAATTGTTTAATAAATCTGCCCACCCTGCCTCACTCCGCAGGCCAATGCCTTCTACAGTCTCATTGTGTAGCCGTGTGCTCTGGCCACTCTGGACTATCTGCAGGGTCCTGGGAGTTGTGCACTCTTGGTGATGTGAACATGCCACCTGTGTTTATTTTCCTGGAGTCCCCTGCAGCTGCCTTTCTTTGCATGATCAAGTCCTGGTTTCTGTTCAGACTCAACTCAAGTGTCACCAGCATTGGAAAAACTTAGCTAATCTGCATTTTTGTTTTCATCTTAGCATTCCTGCTCCTCAAATTCTATTATAAATGTTTTTTTTACAAACAGTTCTTTCTTACAATGTAAGAACACTTACTGTTAGGGGCCTGTTACCGTCTCTAAGGTAATGGACTAGGACAGGTGCTCGAATGTCCTAAGAGTGTGATGCTACTTGCTACTCTGCAACTGCATCCGTCAGTACTGTAACCTCTGGATGACATGTGCAATTTATCTATGTTTTTGAGTTTTACTTTTGTTTCTATACTTTGTCAAGGCAAGAAGGGAGCCCTATAAAGCATATATATGAACTATACATAGATTAACTCGTACCTAAGAGTACTAGGAAGCATTGGGGCCTGATTTCTTCTGTTCCTCCTTACAATATCAAGAGTTTAGTTTTGCCTCAAAGAAAAAATATATAGGCCTCAAATGCTGCCTTTTTAACACCTTAGAAAATGTGGAGATAGCCACTGTGATGTTGGTATTAACCCTTTCTACTTTGATTTGTTTAAGTACTCTGTGAGAGGACCTGACCTTGCTGCTGCTCCATACAGTACTCAGAAATCATCTGTTCTACCTCTTTACGAAGTAAGTTCCTACTTACATATTTGCATTGCAGAATAATTTGTATGATTTAGAGTGTAATTTTGTTTTATTGCATTTTAGAATACTTTTCAGGAGCTTCAAGTAATGAGGCGGAGCCTGAATTTGTTTAGAACACAAATGATGGATTTAGAATTGGCAATGCTGCGCCAGCAAAACTTGGTTTATCACCATATGACTGAGGAGGAAAGGTAGAAGTTCATTTCGTCTCAACATAATTCAAATAATTTTTATTCAAAGAACATTTTCAGTTTATATTTTGAAAAAGTAGTTCTTGTTTCTACTGCTGTATATCTTGTTTGTTTCGTGAGCTGGTATGTATAAAAGTAAGCATAGAGAATGTTCTGTTGACTTCCGGGTCTCGAAGATGGTGACTGTTGCTTGGTAGTCAGTGTGCAGGTTAGTTGGTGAGAGAGGAGAGAGGAACAAGACCATTGTCCTAGTGTCACATCCCCTTGTAGCGCTTCTGTGCAGATTTATAAAACTTAGCATACAGTACCTTCTGTCAGCGTATAGTAGTTATCAAATGCTTGTCAGTGCTTGTCAGTGTCAAATGCTTGCAAACTGTTTTCAAACTTCGTACCTTCCCCCGGGTGGTAGGTATGAAGTTGATCAGCTGCAGAGTTTGAGAAACTCAGTCCGAGTGGAGCTGCAGGAGCTGGAGCTGCAGCTGGAGGAGCGCCTGCTGGACTTGGAGGAGCAGCTGCGAGCTGTGCAGGTGCCGTCGCCCTTCCACTCCTCCTCGCTGATGGTAGGCTGCCCAGAGGGTGCTGGGAGTTAGTACTGGGCCAACTTGGGAGGTTCCTTGTCAGTGAGGACAAGTCCCTTCATCTTCATCTGTTTATTTTAATGACCTGGAAAGTAGGCACAGTGTTTAAGGAGCTTTACAATGCATCAGTTTTAGGTACAAGTTGTAATAGTTTTCTTAAATACTTTGTGTACTTACACGTTGAAAATTTTTAATTATCATTTTGATAAGAAAAAATAAGTCAATACAAAGATTTTATAGTTTCTGAAAGAAAAATCGTAGTGCATGAAAGTACGACTGAGTTAAATTTGAATTACCGCATATATGTATCTTCAAAGAATACAAATATATTTAGGTTTTTTTTATCGTCTTTTGCATTTAAATAAATAATGTGCCCTCTAAACTTTTCCTTTATTTTGGTTTGTTTAAGCCAATCCCAGTCCTCCCCCATGCTGGGGATCAGAATCAGAGTCTCCTTGTGTTGAGCACAGACTGTACTGTATCACTGAGCTGCGCTCCCGGCCTTTTAGTCTTTTGTTTTGTAAGGGCTGAAATGAGGTGTTTTGATAGAACACATGTGTACAATCAAGATAAGAAATAGCAAAACTATTTGTCTTTTTTGTACCACTTTTTATTACTTCTAATATTGCTTTCCATAAAATTTTAACTTCAACATTGTTATTTTTGGCAGGGAGATATCCTGGAGATTGAACCCAGGCCTCCACAATGACCTAAGTCCTCAGCCCTTTTAAAAAAAATTTTATTTTGGAACAGTGTCACTAAGTTGCCAATGCTGGGCTCAGAATTGTGATCCTTCTGCCTTAGCTGCCTGAGTGCTGGTATTACAGGCGTGTACTGCTGTGCCTGGTTTCAACACTGTATTCCTATTCTTGCCAGTCTCTGACGCTGTAGAATGTGTTGCTTAGAAGTGTGTGTTGGTGGGAGCAGAGAATAAATACAGCCCACATACCTTGTAGTTTCACCTGTCACTCAAACTTAATTTTATAGGATTCCATGATATTTGAGAGTGGCCATTGTGACATAAATAAATGTGTTGGGGCAATAAATTCCCTTTATTTTAAAGCCCTTGAACTTTGGGAAAATGTATATACATATATGAAGTCTCTGCTGTTCTTTCCTTTTCAGGGAATGTGCGGCAGTAGAAGTGCTGATAACCTGTCCTGTCCTTCTCCATTGAATGTAATGGAACCAGTAAGCCTCTTGCCTTTTAAGTCACTGGGGAAGGGCACCATATAATAGCACCTGTACATGACTTTCCTGCTGTGGGAAAAATGCACGTTTTTGTCAAATACAGAATTTACTAAGTAAACTTGGGAGCAAGTTTGCCGCCTCTGAAGTTCATTTCCATCTTAAGCCGTTAGAAAGCAAGCTTAATCACAATTGTGATTTTTATCTTTGTGGCCTAAAGAAAATAATGCAACATGAAAAATACTTAGTTTGTATTACAGAGGAAATAATGCTTTAATGATTAGATCCCTAGTACTTTAAGTGCAATCAATAAGATGATGACTTTTTGAACAGAAGTTTAATTTGTATTATATTCTAGGCAGATTGATCCATTTGAAGGCAAAACACTGTAACTATTTTGTTCTCTTTTGAGTAATTTGAACATCAGTATGGTAACAAGTAACATCCACTATTTTCTAGTTACCCATTTTATTGCTTGAGCTTACTATGAATTTAAATTTGGTGAATTTGAAAATGAAATTGAATAGTTACTAAGTTAATGAAGCGAGATTAAATATGTCCTACTAGTTTTGTGATTTGGGGCAGTATTCATAGCTAAGAGTATAACCTTCACTTTGTTAATTTCAAGAGAGAAGAGTAAGTGTTTCTCACCTTTAGGTTGCGGAGCTGATGCGGGAACAGTCCTACCTGAAGTCTGAATTGGGTCTGGGACTCGGAGAGATGGGATTTGAAATTCCTGCTGGAGAAAGCTCAGAGTCAGTTTTCTCCCAGGCCACGTCAGAGTCATCCTCTGTGTGTTCCAGTCCTTCACACCACGCCAGCAGAAGAGCTGCGGTGCCTGGGCAAACGGGGGGCAAGCGCACAGCCCAGTCAGTGGCCAGAAAGAAAGTGTTCCGGGCCTCAGTGGCCCTGACACCAACCGCTCCTTCCAGAACAGGCTCTGTGCAGACGCCTCCAGAGCTGGAAAGTTCTGAGGAGGCTGGTGTGGCCGAGGAAGGCGTACGGGTTGTGGGACCGAACTCTGACATGGAAGAAGAGTGTGCAAAGCTCTCAGTGATGCCAGCGGCTGAGGAGATGCAGAGGAGCGTGGAGCAGAACGAGTTGCAGCAAGTCATACGGGAGGTGAGTCCAGCCGTGCCAACTTCACTTACGGATGTGGGGTTCACCATGAACGTCGGTCACATGAGGTGCTCTCAATCGCCGTGTTCTCATTCTCAGGGAGTTTTCACGTTCACTTTTCCATTGACCTTGTTCATCTCAGCTGCACTCTGTTGGAATGGCATCCTGCAGGTTTGAGACATGGTGAAAAGGATGTTGCAGGGTTTGCAGAAGATAAATGTGACAGACTCTCTGGATCCCGTTTCCACAAATGAGGGACTATAATTTACATCTCTGCGCGGTGTTATTTTGTCATTTCAGCTGACATGAGAAATGGTGTTGTGATTTTAATAAGTATAAAAATTTGATCTCTTTGATTTGGTGGGTGGAGAAGGGTGGAAATTTTGAGTTGTTTAGAGTCTGAAACACAATATGAAAGGAAGGTGCACCCTGGCTGAGGACAGCAGGAGAATCTGGAGCCTTCACCATCATTCTCAGTTACTGCAGGGGCTTCAAAGCATTAAGAGGGTGGTGGTCCCAGTCAAGGTGAACTGAGATACTGGGTTTTTACACTGAATTCAGTTAGTAAGGAACAGTGTGCTACAAAGCTGTGTGCCTCCTCGAGACGCCTTTGTGATATTTATGCCCTCCTTGCTTCTGACATCAGTGTCCTTTTGTGAAAACCAGTGTAGTGCATAGCATGAAATTTCTACAAGTTGAATATTTCTTGTGTATCCTATTTCCTTGTCATACGAATTCTCAAAAATTACAAGGGAGAACCAAAATTATGCATAGCTTTTCCAACAAAAGATGCTAAAACCTCTAATAAGAAAGGATCATTTAACTCAAGCATGGGGGCCCACAGACTGTAAGCCCAGCACTTAAGAGGCTGAGGCAGGAGGATTGCCATGAGTTTAAAGCCAGCCTGAACTGCATTGTGTGATCCTCTATTAAAAAACAAAAAACAGATCTTTCGTTCTTTCTATTATGTTTAAAAAATCACTTTAGAGACTCAGGATATACCTCAGGAATGCAGCCTGTGCTTAGCACGAGTGAAGCCCTGCGTTCAGGCGTCAGCATCAGCTTCCTGCTCCAGAACACACCTGCTTTATTACAAGTATCTGGTTCGCCCTCTGCAGGGTAAAAGAAAAATACATGTAAGACATGAAGTCATGGAGGTTAAGGATGGAGGAAAATAAATAATAGAAAAATTGCGTAGAAAAATTGATCAGGGCTTCAAAAAGTTTGAGGTTTTAGATCACTTCTGACCTTTTGCCCCATGTTGTGCTTGGGATCAAACCCAGGGTCTTTGTGCAAGTTAGGTGACTCCTATATCCCCATTCTGTCCATTCAGATTCTGGATTTTCAGATGAAGTCTGCTCAGCCTTTGAAGCCTTGTAAATGTTCCAAGAATCTGAAAAAGTACAACAAAACATTTCTGGTCCCAAGCATTCAGATTTTCATTCTGTAATAAAGTGTTCAAGAAATAAGCATTTAAGAATAAAAAAGGTCAAAATGGGCCAGAGAAATCAGAGTCAGTGTGGCTCCCAGTTTTTAAACCGTATCCAGTGAAACTACCAATGTGGACCTAATGTGTTTTAGAATCAGTGTGTAACATACAACAGAATTCCAGAGACTACAGCCAAGAATGGTGGCAGTGGGCCAAAATCTTCCCATAATTTGGCCATTGATCTGGGTCCTGAGATTAGTTTGTAAATGTCAGGGGTCATCATTTATAGCTGTGTGACAGTAGCTTGAGAGTTACGTGAAAAAAATAAATAAATACAGGGTTGGGGGGGGTTCAGTGGCATAGTACTTAGTATATGCAAAGCGCGTGGTTCAATTTACAGTTACTGCCAGAAAAAAAACAAAAAATAAATGCAGTTTTGCTGTAAACATACCCATGATGTATATGTCCCTGAAAATCTGTGCTGTGCACACCCATGCAGTAAAACTCATGCATTTTATGGGGAAAACAGGATTAATTTTAAGCTAGCACTCAAAACTTCAGTGGCATTATAAATGCCACACGCTAAGTGATTACATCACTGGAGCTCCTTCAGTGACATTAAAAGACACAAAAGAAACAAAGCAGTAGCACAGGTCTGTGCATTTTAAGTGCTTTAAAAGTACTCAAGTGCTACAATAAATATGCTACATCATCTTTAAAAAAATTTGCTTGTGGGGCCAGGATTTAGCTCAGTGGCATAAGTGCCTGCCTGGCAAGTGCAAGGTCATGAGTTCAATCCCCGATACAAAAAAAAAAATTTTGCTTGTGCAATTGCCCTTCAAAAGTGTCACATCTTGAGAGTTACAATGACACGGAGGAAGGGTGGTGATCTGAAATCGGCCAGAAGTTTTGGGTATGAGTAGGAGGCTCATGGTGGAGAACCGAGGTAACTGGTGGATTTAAGTTAGCATGCGTTTTGCTAGCTGTGTTTCTAGGTTCAGCTGGATGCAGGGATGTATTCATCTCAAGATCCCTACAGATGAAATGGCAAATTTGTAAGCATGAAATGCACATTCTTTTTGTTTTTCTTTTTGAGACAGAGTCTTGCTGAGCAGTTCAGGCTGGCTTTGAACTCACTTTGTAGCCCAGGCTGCTCTTGAACTCCCAATGATCCTCTTATGTCAAGCCTCCTGAGTGCTGGGATTATAGGCATGCACCACCATGCCTGGCCACGCCGTATTTTTATAACAGGAATATACCAACTGAAAGTACAGAAGGACTTAATTTTGCATGTTTATTTGTCCTGCAGTTGTAATTATTTTTGTTAGTTGACTCATGTTCAGCAAAGTACATCTCACCTTCTCAGCCAGGATTGCCTGTGGTTGTGTGCCTGCTTTATATCAAAGATCCAATTCTGAGTGAAATTAAACAATTATTTTCTACATTTGTTGAGGAAGTATGTTGTAGGTTGCAAGAAATGTGAGGTTTTTGTTCCCTGTAACCACTTGCTTTGGTTTGAAAGTTTTTGAAACTTGACTTTATGCTTCCCATTAATGTACACTTGAGTCATTTTCAAAGTTGTAATGGCTTGATATGTGCTGGAAGTAATTTCCTAGGAATAAAGCACTCATTTTAGGACAGAACTTGATTCTTTGTCCTATAGGACATATCATAGAAAAAGTCAATTGTTCCTTGGTCCATCATGCTGCTGTGGTCCTAGAGAATTACTTAGTCATTCATAAGAATCTCCTGTTTGGTAGGAAACATTTTATTTTGCAGACATTTAAACTGGCAAGTAAAGCAAGGCAGATGCATGGAGAATTTTTCAGAATTGATTACTTAGCCCATTAATTAGCAACTACTTTGTTTAGTATTTGGCATATTTTGGAGGAAGTTAAGCTTTAACATTTACTTTTGTTGACTGCAAAGAAAAGCTTACCAAGGAAAATACTTAGAGGTCCAACAAAGCATCAGAGAACTATTTCATGTACTCAAGAAAACAAACTCTTTTGAGGTATTTTAAGAGCATACACTGACTTAAGATTATAAAAAGTAATTTTTATTATTATTGTCTTAGTTTAGTTACAGTGGTTTTTATTAGTTTGTTTAGAACAGATTAGTTTTCATTTTGTGTATTTCCAATTGCTAATCTTTACTTAAATAAACAAGGTACTAAATTCCATTTTTAAGTTTATTGTATCAGCTACCAAGAAAATTAAAATAGATTCTCCCTGTCTAGTAAGTCCTGAGCCACTGACCCCATTCACAAAGCCACATTTAGGAAGGTAGGATTTACTCTCAGAGTGCAGGTGAGTATTGAGCGTGGTTGGCAGGCATTTTCAGGGAAGTTCTCTTATTGCATTCAGGTGGCTTGAACACAATGGTATCTGCTAGTTCTTTGTTTCGATCATTGCACCATATATAAGTTTTTCATGAGTGCATTCATTGTTAATAATATGTTTGTACAGTAGAATTCCTCTTTGGAAGTAGAACATCGGAACAGAATCCTCTCAAAAAATATTTAATACATGTATTGGGTAACTAAAACTTTTCTTAGAGCAAAGATACCCCTCTGCCCAGATTGTGTACATTGTACAGGAAAAAAATACACTGCTTTAGACTTTGCCCGAGTAATTGATGATGTATGTGATCAGTGGCCTGAAACTGTTTACAGTTACTTTTAAAATGTATACATGTATATAAATAAGAAGATGGCCTAACAGGATGAATGAACATGTGCCTACAGAAGCAGCTGCGATGTCGAAGAGTAAACATGGGTGGCCATGTGTTTAGAAAGTTTTTCTGTGTTTATTGAAGCTGCTAGACTTCGTTTATGCCTTTCAGAATCCTGCCCCAGTACATCTGGCATGATTTAAGCATGTAGCTTGGTAGAAACATAGCTTCCCGTGCGTTCCTCGGGAAGCTTCTGCAGCCCTCTGGTAGGGAGGGGCTGCTCACAGTGGTACAGGGGAGCGGGGTGAGCCAGGCAGCACCACACAGGCCCCGCGCACGGTCAGCCTGTGCTGCTGCACCCCAGCTGTCCTCACCTGCGCGACTCCCTCTGGGAAGTGGCGTTCAGGAAAGCGATTTCCATTCGGGTGGTTTCCTCACCCCTGAGCCTTCCAGCCGCTCTGCAGCATGGGAGACTGTGGAACTGCGTAATCCGTCCTTGCGTGGTTGAGGGCATTTTATCATTTGCAGAGCTGGTTCACCCGTAGTAACTTCTCTTCTACCTTCTCTTCTTTTTTTGGTCTGATCTTGTCTCTGTCACTTTTATGCTTTCTCTCATTAATTCAAACTTTTTTCTCTAGAATTATTTTATTGCAGTGTAATACAATAGATATTAATACAAAAAACTCTATGAAAAAATAAAACGAAATTTCATACAAAATATTAGAGACTAACAATGGTTAGTATACTATGATTCCCAATCTTAAAAGAGTGGCCAAAATGTTACAGAGTACAATTATAGAAGAAAAGAGACTTTCTTTCAAAGAAGAAGCTAACAAAAGGACAAAACTTTCTAGGGAACAAAAAGAAACTAGTGATATAAATGAAACAAAATAGCATATAACCCCGTACCGATTAAAAAAAAAGCTTTAAAAAAATAGCATATATCTTAAAATATTTTTTAAGCAACAGAATAATTTAGGGAATTATTTGAACTTTTTCCTATTTTTGTCCCTATTACCTATCTTACTGTTGTTTTAAATTCTTTGTCCTTTCTCTCCTTCCATCCTTCCCTTGTTCCCTTTCTCCTCCTCTTATCCTCTGTCCTCTTCTCTCCTGTTCTTCCCCCAAACATATTTTGTTTATGCTTGGATACATGATAAGCAAGACCTGGTGCCTTTTTTGAGGGTAGTGAACAGCACCTTTCCAGGTAACTGGGGTAATAGTTGTGCACCAACACACCCAGCCAGTTTGTTTTTTGAATAATGAAATACAATAAAAGTGTCAGACTTCATTGACAGAAAAAATGATATTCATTGCCTTATAAACATAAATTCTCAGTGGTTCTGTTTTCATGTATTGTGTTCATGCTCATATATTGTGGCTTAGATAGTCTGGATTTCATGTTCATACATATATATATATTTTTTTAAGTGAATGTAAAGTACTGTGAACTTTAGAAACTTTCGAAGCTGTTTAAAGTTTAAAAATTTGATAGAAAGTAAAATGAAAAGCTTATAGTCATTTAAATATTTGCTAGTGTAGACAGTAACTTGAGGAACATTTTGTGTATGAATCATTGTAGAAGTCTGTATATTATGTACCAATTTTGTGTCACCGATTAATACAGAACCATCTTTGGAAATACTTCAGATGAAATGTGTGGGATTCCAGTTAGGAAATAGATCAGGCTGACAGGAAATTGTGGACATGTAGAATTTTAAAAGCAAGCTAAGTGTGTCTCAAGTGCTAATTTGGGAAGGCATTATCCGTTTACTCAGGAAATGCACATTTAAAGCATTGGCCAAGGGCTGTTTGGAGGCGATGCTATACCATTAGAGAGGAAAGGAGGGGACTGGCATTTGCAGTATTTAGACATCTGGAGAAGAAAATTGTGGTGTAATTGTCACTTCCTTGGATCTGCTTCCCTTTCCCAGCAACAAAATGAAATGAGCTCCTTCTGTGAAGCCAAAGACAGGTGACACACATGCCATAGGACTTAAGAAAACAATCTCTTCACATTTTGAGGGCTGAAGATGCTTTTCATGTTTTGTGGTAGACTTTCCTGAGAGTCTTTCTGCTTAGCGTGTGCTTGTGTGAGGAGTGTTTTGCTTCTTCAGCTGCTTTGCTCTGGGCTGGTATAGGCAGCACGCGTGCCTACTCAGCTCCGTCCATAGGCAGACTTACATGAAATCATTGGAGGGAGCCTAACTCTGATCTGTTCTTCCAGGTGGCTTTGTTTCATGAAGTAAATCACTTACTACAAGAGTTTTACATGTATGAAGTAGCATTTTCATGGTGATGTTTCTTATGTGTGAGCTGCTGAGTCATCCTGGGCCAGCCTAGAGCTGCGCGGGGGGTGAGGATGAGGGACTTGGTCTCCTGAGCCTCTCTGTGTCACAGGGAGCTTCACAGGAAATTGTCGTTTTCTTCATGTTCTCACAGAGTCCCAGGAATTAAATGCTATTTGTTTTTCTGAAAACAGAGAGAAATGGACATCATCACTCATATTGTTAAATGCTTTTCGCTTTTTCTATTACAGATTAAAGAGTCTATTGTTGGGGAAATCAGACGAGAAATTGTAAGTGGACTTTTGGCAGCAGTATCTTCAAATAAAGCATCAAATTCTAAGCATGATAGTCATTAAATGGAATCTTTAGGTAAATATTTTTAATTTACTTGTGTAGCTTAATCTAAATTAGAGATTTTTGTTTTGGTTTGTTGGTTTGTTTACATAAAGTCTTGCTGTGTAGCCTGGCTGGCCTGGAACTTGCCATCCTGTGCCTCAGCCTCCCCAGTGCTGGATCGCAGGTGTATGCCACAACATTCAAGTACCGCTTGGTTTTCGACTCTTTGTTCTCTTAGCACGGAGTTATGTTTCTCTAGCTAAATATTTATTTTATTTATTTTACAATATATGTGGTGCATTAATTTAAAATGTGACCCCTTGTTGAGGTGTGAGCCAGTAAATGTTAAACTCTACAGAATTGTCACTATTGTATTTTTTTAATTGAAATTTCATTGTAGCAGATAAATCCTAGTATTTGGCCTTTAGACTTGGATCTTATTTTTATAACATTGGCTTCAGTGATATTTCAGAGATATGATTTATGAAACAAAATCATAAGTTCTTAGCAATTTTCCTAATTATTTTTGTCTTTTTAAAGAAATACATAGATCCATTTTCAATCATAATTTATAAAAAATTGTTTCATGTGATGAACTTATTAAAATGAATTCTCTCCTCATCATTATAATTATATTTTATAAGTTGTATATTAATGACAGTACTTGGTGATTGCAAAAGAGTAATCTATCTTAGGGCAGTGCTTTTAATAGTGCTAAAAATACACTCAATATAATATTAAAAACAAAATTGTAATTTGAAAAGTATACATGTGATTTCAGCTGTCAAAATGGAGAAATATTTTGTAAACTATTTCATAAAACAATCAATAGGATTTATTTTTGAAAACAAGGATAAGGCTGCGGCTATAGCTCAGTGGCAGAGAGCTCTTACGTAGTGTGCATGAGGCCCTGGGCTCAATCCCCAGCACCTCAGATAAGTAGAAAAAAAAGAGTGACTTTGAAAAAAATGTATAGCAGCCAAAGAAAGGTCGTGCTGCTTATGATTTTCCAAAAGCAAAATAAAATGGATTAAAGTCACAGTAAGAGCTGTTCATATATGTAAGTATCTGACTAGATAAAATTGCCCCGTCTTAAAGCCTCTTTAGTAGTAGTATTTACACGTGGCTTAATGGTGCCTTCTCCTTTTCAGATTGACCTGGACCCTGCTAGCTGGTGAACATTAGAGTTATTGGTGCTGTACACTGGTGAGGCTACCTGTTCTTCAGAAGCTACGTTCGGCAGAGTTGGGCTGCTATATACAGTGTACAGTGTATAATTTTTCTCTTGCTGTCTTTTTTAAAAACATACATAGAAACTTAGGCACTTTGCTATTTCTTCTCTCAACTACCAAAATCGTGGCACTATGAAAAGCGTAGTATTTATTCCTGTGTGCATATTTTTCCAGTCAGTTCCCTTTATAGAATTAATTATAAAACTTGAAGATTTCTAGACATAACCAACTTATAAATAACATGTTACTTCAAACTAGCTTCTTACAACACTGACCTCTATGAGGTATTTACTGTGCAATAACTGATTCATTTTTTGAGAGCTTGAAGCAACCAATGATTTTCCCTCCACTGCTGTTAATTAGGGTCACTTCCAAGAAGACAAACTGTTCAGTTGTAAAAATTGCTCTTAGTTCTTGAGGAGGCTACTAATAGCAGTAGTATAGAATTACATGAGGTTACCTACAACTACTTAATGTTCTTACACTGTAAGCTTTGTTCCTTTACCCAAAGTAAATGTAATTTTATTACAGCTTATGTAGTATTTTTTTTTTCTTGGGGAAATGTGCCTTATGTTAAACACTATGTACTTTTTGCATTGTCCAGACTTCTTATTTTAAGGAGATGTTTCTTCTGTCTCATAGACTAAATAGTAGAACTTTGTCAGAATAATGGTGTCTATGACTTGAATGGGTAGAAATGAATAAGCTGGTTTTGTTGTTTTCAAAGTGGAAGTAATTTAGATTTGTTCTCCTCATATGTAAATGATTTTAATTCAGTTTTAACCAGTGTAAACTCTTTGTCTTTATGAAAGAAAAAGAAAATAGTTTTCTCTTTGGTTTTGTATGTGTTGAATAAATCTGTAAAGTAACAGCCACATGTTGTTGGAATTATTCTTTTAGCATTTATAATTTTCAATTCCTATTATGTTTCTTCATGTGTGAAATTTTAATCAAAAATGGTTGAGATGTTAACACTGTTTTTGAAAGAATATCTCAAAGGTTTATAAATGTTTGAAATGTCACACAAAACCTGATTTCTAAAAAAATTAAAACAATAAAGTATTTATTTTGCCTAAAATGTTGTTGATTTTTTTTTTTTTCGAACTTGAAGAATTTGGATTAGATTTGATGTGCCTGCAGGAAGTGTAGCGTACAACCTAGTAGGTTTCCTGGAGCACCTTCTGTGATGCTTTCAGCAAAGGTAGTTCATTCTGCACTGCCTTGGACAAGGCTTCTTGGGCTCATCTTGTTCTGTGGTTATAATCATTCTCACCTGAAGCCAAATAAAACATTCTTTTTTTTTTTTTGTCTTTTTCTTTTTTTATCGGTACCAGGGATTGAACGACTGCCTGCTTGCAAGGCAGGAGCTTATGCAGCTGAGCTAATTCCCCAACCCCAAATAAAACATTCTTTACAGGGTGCTATTAAGCTGTAAGGAATACATTAAAATAATCTTTTACTCTTTTGTCAAATTACTGAGCAATTTCACTGGTTGAGTCTAACAGCAGTGATAAACATGTAAGCTAAATGCCTCATATTAATAATATAAACATTGACGCTTAACAGCTGTTCAGTTTTTCAGCCACTGTGTGTTCTAACAGTACAAGATTCTCAGAATTTGATGATCAAAATTAGATACAGAACAGTTTTGATGAAAAGGACAAATCACTTGCATGTTATACAAATAAAATCAGCCTCCACAGTTAGTTTCATCTTTCCTTTTCTCATTCTAAACCTTGGTATACTTAGTAAATGTTTGAAAGCTGTTATATCAAGCTACTGTGCTACAATAAATGAATAAAACTCGATGGAAAACATCTTTTAAAATTTTGGTACAAGATAAGCAGGATCAAATTTTTAAAAGAACAGTAGAGAGTATGGCTTGGGATGGTCAGAGAAGTCCTTACAAAGATGTGAGTTGCATGAAGTTTTAAAGATTAGAGGTGCAAGGGGAAGGTGCCTGTCAATGAGGCTGTCATGACGCAGGGTGTCCTGGGGGAAGAAACATGTTTTCAGTCTGTCATTTCACTGCTTAAACTTCCTTAGTATATTTTTTAAAGGGGGGAGGCTGGGAATTTAGCTCAGTGACATAAGCACTTGCCTGGCAGCACAAGGTCATGAGTTCAATCCCCAGTACCAAAAAAAAAAAAAAGAAAAGGGTAGGGGTGGGGGACCAAGGAAAGAATTAGCTGGCCATTCTCACACTTAGAGAAGATAAAGAGTACTTACTGAGATGAACTGGTCTGCCACTTGGTGAAAGACTGGCAATTCTCAACCAAATAGTCTCCTTCAAGAAAACTCAGAAAGTTTTGGTGTGAGTTTGCTCTCCTCCATCCTCCATGGCGCAGTGGGATTGGTTTCTCCCTTGACTTGGGACCATGTGGCTGGTGAGAGAAGTCTGAAATCCACTCCACCTTGCTCCACTGGCGGGACTCTGCCTGGAGATCTGAGGGCAGTGCCAGCGACAGACTAGGACTGTTCAGTTGCATGTGATAGGCAGAGCTAGTATGTAAATAATCCATGCAACACTAGCAATATGAGTCAATAGGTGATCTCAAACATTTTATTTTTTGTTATTCTCATCCTTTTGCTTTCTCACAACTATCTCACTTGATTTTATACCTTAACATGAATAAACATTGTCTCTTTCTGGCTCACTTTAAAAGTACTAGGCTATCTGTTCCAATCTTTGCTTCTTGTGTGCTCCAATTACCCAAAACTGGGATGATCATCCTATGTCCTCCAACCTTGCTCCTATTATGTTTAACCTCATTCTTTTCTCCATCCTACCCCTATTTTGAAACACCCCCCCAAAAAAACAGGGTAAAATCACTCTACTAAGTGAAAAATTACTGAATACAAATTCCTAGTATAACTTGAATTATATTTCTGTAAATCTTCCTTCTAAGGTTATAGAGATCAGGCTAATAGCACAGTTTGTCAGTAGCTAGCTGGACTTCAGTCTATTGTTATTGCCAACAAAACTACTTTAACTGATAGGATTATTTCCAAAAGATAAGAAGTATAAAACAAAAGAGGCCTTCATTCTGAGAACACGGAGAGATAACCGACACTCCCTGCCCGCTGGAGTCCAGCGATCTCTCTGGGGGACACGTGGCATGGGGGGTATATAAGTAGCCTAGGCTTAGGGTAGTGCCCTAGGGCCATTAGAGATGCACAGGTATTTCATTGGCACATGTTTGGCACCAGGGGCAGATTCCTAAGGGTGGGGGGAGATAGAGTCACAGGTAAATCTCCAGGGATGAGGGAGGTTCCGGTTGAGGCCTTTTCTGGCTACAGTGTCCCGTCGGCCAAAACCCTTTCATATCCCGTCTTACGATTATTATGAAAAGGAGCGAAGATTTCTCTCTTTAACTACTTCCTGCTGGCAGGGGGCACTGTACTGGAGCCTAGGGGAGTTGACAGGATGATGGATGATGCCCAGGTAGACGCTGGTGCCAGGTGTTTTAGCCAGGACAACTTCACTGGTGAATGCACGTATGTTAGACTGGAAAAACAAAGAGACATGATGTTATGAGGGGACATGGCACTGTCATATTTCAGGACCCAGGTGAGGTAGAGGGAAAGGTGCCTTTGATTTAGACATGTCATTCTATCAGGATGATGTTGAGGTAGGATCATTGTCACAGTGAGGTAAAATTCTGAAAATTAAGTGTGAGGTTAGAAGGAGCGAAGTTATGAGAGGTGATTACTCCCCCATCTGAAAGCATAAAAGTTAAGAGGGTAGGTGTGTAAAACTTGTCTCCGGTACAGGAGTTGAACTGGAAAAAATAGGGGGAGTAGGGAAGGTGGTGGCTGTACCAGTATAGGGAAGCTAAGGGCTTAGGCTTTCAGGGATGTCACGTTTAACCAGACAGCTGAGGGTAGAAAGAACTACGACAGTTATCACAGAGAACATTACGAAGATGATCTTATGCATGATGTGGGAGTCTCTAGGAAAGACTGTCAAGAGTCCTGCTATAAAAATGATCATTAATAGAACGTAAGAAATTAGGAACCAAAGTGGATAACAAAACATGACTTAGCCTGTTAACTGTGGCTGTGAGGCCTTCGTGAAATGGAGATGGGTGGGCGACAGAAGATGAGATGACCACTCAGAATGATCAGATTTAGGGCTGGGAGGGCACCTCTTAGCCTGAGTGATGTGAAACCAGGATGGGAGTCCAGCAACTTTGACCGCTGTAGGGGTAGCCAAGTAGACCAGATGGGGGCCACTCCACCTTGGTTGTAGTCCTGTGGATTTAGAACATTTGAGATAAATTAGATATCCTGGGGATATGGGAGGATCTGGTTTGGCCTCTCCAGAGGGTTGTGGAAGGCAGAGATCAGCATGTTGTCGCAACAGGTGTCCGAGGAAGGAGAGGACTGGGACATAGTCAGCCAGGGGAGGGAGATTTTGGGGAGTGAGAAGATTGTGGAGTAAGAATGGCCTGCCGTACATAAGTTCAAAAGGACTTAAGAAAGTAGGAGCCCTGGGAAGTGCCCTGAGCTTGGCTCAGGCTAAGGGCAAAAGTTGAGGCCAAGGTTGGTGTAGTTTTAAAGTGAGTTTTGTAAGGTGTGTCTTTATGAGGCATTTGCCTTTTCTACTTTTCCTGAGGATTGTGGATGGTTTGGGATGTGTAGGTGCCAGGTGATGTGTAAGCTCAAGGATACCTGTTGAGTGATCTGGAGAAATAAAGGCAGGACCATTATCTGACTGAATACTCTGAGGTAGACCAAACCTTGGAATCATTTCTTGTAATATGACTTTGGTAACTACATCAGCAGTTTCCCTGGTTGTGGGAAAGGCTTCTATCCATCCTGAAAAAGTACAAACAAAGGTGAGAAGATATTTGAGAGTCTTGTGGTGGGGCATGTGTGTAAAATCTATCTGCCAGTCCTGATCAGGAGTGTGTCCTTGAAACTGATGGGTAGGAAAGGAAGGAGGTGCCATACGTCCCTGAGGAGAGGGCCTGGCACAGAGATCACAGGTGTGAGTAATCTTAAGGATGATAGCTTTTAGAGAAGGGTGTGTGACCATTGGGACTAAGAGTTTGTACAGGGCCTGTAATCCTATATGAAAACAGTTGTGTGAGTCAGTGATGATGTCTAAGGCCTGTTGATGTGGGAGAACAAGTTTAGATCCCTGAAAAATCCATCCCTGAGTGTTTTGTGTGTAACCTGGTTTATGAAGTAGCTGTAACTGCTCTGGTGAATAATTAGGCTGAGGTAGACTGTTTGAGACTAACAGGAGAAGATGAGAAGGGCAGGGCCCTTGTGCAGCTAACTTGGTTTGTGAATCTGCAAAAGCATTGCCTTGAGCAATAGGATCTGTAGAGTTTTGGTGTCCTCTACAGTGAATAACTGCTGCCTGCTTTGGAAGTTGGGCTGCCTCTAGAAGTTTAAGGATAAGGGGAGCATTAATGATGGGGGTTCCCGGACTGGTAATAAAACCCCATTCTTGCCAGATAGAGGCATGAGAGTGTAAAATGCTAAATGTATACTTCGAGTCAGTGTATATATTTATAATCTTGTCTTTTGCTAGTGTAAGAGCCCTTGTAAGGGCAATAAGTTTTGCCCTCTGTGATGAGGTGCCAGGTGGCAGTGGATTTGCTTTTATTAACTTTTGACTGGTTAACTATTACGTATCCTGCCTTTTTTTGGTTGCCTGTGTTTGTTGAACTACCATCTATGAACCATGTGTCAAAGGCTAAAGAGAGAGGTGTGCTACTGATGTGAGGGAAAGGGGTGGGAGTCATCTGTAAAAACTCTATACAGTCATGGTGAGGATGGCCCTCTGAGGTGGGAAGTAAGGTGGCTATATCGAGAGGACCACTAGTTGCAATAGAGAAGCAAGGGTCTTAAGAGAGAGATGAGGCAAAGGCGAGAAGGGGTCATTAGGGCAGGGAGCACCTTATGTGAGATAAGCTCACGTAGGTGATGAAGTGAGTGTACTATAATAGATTGCCCTAAAGTAAACTTTTTAGCTTCCTGTGTCAGGAGGGCTGTAGCTGCAAGAGCTCGGAGACAGGAGCCCATCCTTTTACTGTGTGATCTGTTTTGACAAGTAAGCTACTG